ACCTCCCAAGCCCCCCCACTCTGCCTCTCAAATTCCTCATATCAGGGAGATAATATGATAATTGTCTTTCTCTGATTGACTTGTTTTGCTCAGCATGATACCCTCTAGTTCCATCCATGTCATTGCAAATGGCAAAATTTCATATCTTTTGATGGTTGCTTAGTATTCCACTGTATATATATACCACATCTTCTTTATCCATTCATCTGTTGATGGACATCTGGGTTCTTTCCATAGTTTGGCGGTTGTGGACATTGCTGCTATAAACATTTGGGTACATGTGCCCCTTCAGATCACTACATTTGTATCTTTAGGGTAAATACCCAGTAGTGCCATTGCTGGGTTGTAGGGTAGCTCTATTTTCAACTTTTTGAGGAACCTCCGTGCTGTTTTTGTCCTGGAAGCTTTTTATCTTTCCTTCTATTTTCAGGGACAGCGTAGTTGGATATACTATTCTTGACTGCATGTTTTTCTCCTTTAATGCTCTGAATATATCATGCCAGTCCTTTCTGGCCTGCCAGATCTCTGTGGATAGATTTCCTGCCAATCTAATATTTCTACCATTGTATGTTACAGACCTCTTGTCCTGAGCTGCTTTTAGGATTTTCTCTTTGTCTTTGGGACTTCTAAGTTTTACTATTATATGATGGGTTGTTGACCTATTTTTATTGATTTTGAGGGGGGTTCTCTGTGCTTCCTGGATTCTGGTTCCTGCTTTCTTCCCCAAATTAGGGAAGTTCTGTGCTTAATTTGCACCAGTATACCTTCTGCCTCTCTCTCCTTCTTCTGGGATCCAAATTATTCTAATATTGTTTCATCTGACAGTATCACTTATCTCCTGAATTCTCCCCTCGTGATCCATTAGCTGTTTATCTTTTTTTCTCAGCTTCTTTATTCTCTATCATTTGTTGGTCTTCTATATCACTAATTCTCTCTTCTGCCTCATCTGTCTTAGAGTAAGAGCCTCCATTTTTGATTGTATGTCATTAATAGCCTTTTTGATTTCAATTTGGTTAGATTTTAGTTCTTTGATTTTTCTGGAAAACGATTTTCTAGTATCTTCTATGCTTTTTTCAAGCTCAGCTGTTATGTTTCTAAACGTCATTCTTAACTCTAGTTCTGATATCTTACTAATGTCCGTATTGATTAGGTCCCTTGTGGTTGGTACTGCCTCTTGTTCTTTCTTTTGAGATGAGTTTTTCCATTTTTGTCATTCTGTCCAGAGAAGAATAGATGAATGAGAGAACAAAATGCCAATAGGGTAACAATGACCCCAGAAAAATATACACTAAATGAATCAGAAGAGACCTGTAATTGAGGGCAAAAGAAAGGGGGGGAAAAAAAAAAAAGAATATCATCAGGCTGGTGAATAGAACAGGGCCACACTTTATTTAGATTTTGGGTGTATTTTGGTTTGTTAGAAGAAACTGCCCTTCCAGGGCACCTGGGTGGCTCAGTAGGAAGCCTCTGCCTTCGGCTCAGGTCATGATCCCAGGGCCCTGGGATTGAGTCCTGCATCAGGCTCTCTGCTCAACAGGGAGCCTGCTTCCCTTCCTCTCTCTGCCTGCCTGTCAGCCTGCTTGTGATATCTGTCTTTCAAATAAATAAATAAAATCTTTAAACAAATATTAAAAAGAAAGAAGAAACTGCCTCCCAAAATTTTAAAGAAAGAAAATCATGTATATGTGTACACACACACACACACACACACACATAAATAAGGGTAAATGCGATGAAGAGATGGAATATGACTATAAAGATGGAAATTAAAAAAGATTTCTAAAAAGTGATAAGATAAAAGTTGGTTGAAAAAAGAAAGAAAAAAATTAAAAAAAAAAAAAAAGAGAACATCCTCAGGCTGGAGACTAGAACAAAGCCATACACTAGATTTAGGGTATAAGTCTGTTAGAAGAAAGTGTATCCCAAAATTTTAAAGAAAGAATAACATATATATATATATATATATATATATATTTATATTTATATATACACACACACACACACCCCCAACACACATATATATATACAAAAAATAAAGTTAAATACAATGAAGGAACAAAAAAACGAATGTAAAAATTAAAATTAAAAAAGAGTTTAAAAATGGTATTGATAAAATAAGATGTTGATTAAAATAAGAAAGAGGAAAAATTTAAAAAAAAAGAAAAAAGAAAATTAAAAAAAAATTTTAAGTTTGAAAGACTAAAGAATCATGGGAAAGAAGCCATGAATTCCATGTGCTGTATTCCCCTGGTGCTGGAGTTTTGCCGTTCTCATTGATTGGTAAAATTGGTCTTGGCTGGATGTTCTTGCTGATCTTCTGGGGGAGGGGCCTGTTGCAGTGATTCTTAAGTGTCTTTGCCCCAGGCGGAATTGGCAGCGCCCTAGCCAGGGGCCGGGCTGAGTACTCTGCTCAGGTTTGCTCTTGGTGCTTTTGTTCCCGGACAACTTTCTGCACAGCTTTGGTGGATGAGAATTAAAACTCATTTATGAAAACTCTCACTCTCCAGGCTGGAGGAGACAAGAGCTTGGAGCCCCACTCCCCAGTGAGCCCTCAGAGAAAAGCTGTCAAACACACCTACCTGTCTCCCTGGTCTCTGGCTGCACTCTGTGCTCACCTGGCCTGTGACCTGTTTCTTTCTGGGACACGAGCCTGTTCGGGGTCTCCAAACGCAGCAGATTCTTGCAGTGCGCTCCTGCGCCGCCCCTCCCAGTGGAGGAAGGGGGGGTCTCCCCGATTTGCCACTTGTGGGGTCCTTGCCCAAAGAACAGTAGCCTGGCTGTGCCGGGGATCATGGTTTATGGGAACCCTGAGCCGAGAACCCACTCCTTAGCTCCGTCTTTGCAGCTAGTTTCCCTGCTCTGATACCTGGGAGTTCTGCCGCACTCAGGCAACCTCAGTCTTTCTGTGACCCTGAGGCTCCTGAGACCACACTGTCTCAGTGAGAGCTCCACCCCCTCCCCCGGCCTGCCCTTAGCCACTGGAGCTACATCCCTCAGTGGAGCAGACTTCTCCAAGTTCTGATTTTGTGCTCTGTTGCTCTGTCACTTGCCAGGAGCTGGCTGACGGAGGCTTCCTCTCCTTCCCCACCGACCCACCGCGGTCTGTATTTCTGTATATCGCCTTGTATTTACTTTTCCGAAAGCCTTCCCTTCCAGAAAGTGGTCACTTTTCTGTTCATAGAATTGCTGCTATTATTTTCTTTGATCTTTTGAGTCTGTAGGTGTTCAGAATGGTTTGTTAGCTATCTAGCTGAATTCCTGGGACCAGAGGGAATTTAGGTTTCCTAGTGCTCTGCCTCTTGCTCCTAATCTTGACTTTTTTTTAAAGCCAAGTCTCTTTCTAAATTGTCAGACCATCCTTTCCTGGCATTAAATTCTCTAGCTTTAGATCCTTCACCTTCTTTTGCTTTAAGATGTTTTATAATAACCTTGCTTTTTTTCAAGCCATATTAGAATCTGTATTTATGCCTTTTTCGTAAGAGGTCCTGCAATCCACATAAAAGCTGCATTTTCAGTACAAGATAAAAAAGTATTTAGCAAAATGCAAGGTTTTGTATCTGCTGGCACAGCAGCAAAGATAGCTTCACTAATTTCTTTTTTTACAATACTCCTTATGCTGCATTTATTTATCTTGAAATGGCAGGCAGCCACAGAGGCAGACTTCAGTCTATGGTATATGTAAAGTAATTCACCTTTTTCTTGCAATGTCATGACGGTCTCTCTGTTTCTTGGTGGCATTTCCAGTACCACTAGTGGTACCTTGTTGGGTCCCCTGGTGTTATTCGGGGTTTACAGTATTGCACTAAACATAATGAAAAATGGGAGAACTGTGAGAGATCAATTTTTACTGCCAATTCGCAGTTTACTGGAGAAGATGAACTACTCACTCAGAGATGATTAGTGTTAGATGGCATTTTAAGGGGATACTCACTAATACTTGAACTCAGTACAACAGCAGCAGAGTGACTGTAAAATTACTACAGTTGTACAGCATGCACCACAGTTTTATGCCATTATGATTTAACTGCATCTTTACATTTCTTCACATCTCTTGACTACAAATAGCACCATATATTACATGTGTAAGTTTTGATAAATTTTAACTTCTAAAAATAGATTTGTCTGTATTTTATGGTAGTAAATGGCAAAATAGACTAGTATCTACATGTATTTTATGCATTCATGACATACTTAACTTTTTGTTAATTTCTTTTTATATTTCTGGGCTAGGTGGTTTGTCTGAGTTTTTTCAAATATTTGCAGATCTCCAAAAAATTTTCCAGTATGTTTACTGAAAAAAAATCTGTATGAGTGGATGAAAAAAAAATCTGTGTATGAGTTCAAACCCATATTGTTCAGGGGTCAACTGTATGTGTAGAACTGGAGAAATCGGAAAAGATTAGTGGATTGTATTGATATCAGTATCCTGGTTGTGGTAGTATAGTATAGTTTTACAAAATGTTACCATTGGGGGAAACTAGATAAAGTGAACAAGGGATTTCCTCTATTTTATTTCTTAAAATTGCATGTGAAACTACAATGAAAATTTTATACTGATTCATAAGCTGCTATTAAGGGTAATAATATTAAATAAAAAATGCATTGGAGAACTTGAAGGGAAGACTGTTACTTGGAGCTGTTAGGACTGTGACCATGAGTTTTTATTAAAGAAGTGTTTTAGTATGGATTGGATTTGTTCAAAACCATTTATATTGTTGTTTAGATATACCAGTAGTCTAAAATGGCTTTAGATGTGGCTCTTCAATCAAGGAATGTAATTGTTAATGTAGATAACAGTATACCGCTTCAGATACTTTTCTGGAAACTCTTGGACTCTCAAGTACTTGTTTTGTCCTGGGATAGTAAAAGTGATATTTTCCCCATTCAGTAAAATAGCATTTTATAATGAGATATTAAATTTTCAAAGTAGATGGTAACTTAAATAGCAAATATCTTCTGGAAATGATATGTAACATTTTCCCTTCATTCCTTCTTATTAGAGCACCTGACATTAATACGAAGCAAGGCCAGAACATACTGGAAATCTTGCAAGACTGTTTTGAAGAAAATAGTAAGACATCTTAAAGGTGGACTTTGATGGTTGGGTTGGATAAAAATGTAAATTTGTCATATTATTAAATTATTAATATTAAATTCAGTAAATACATTCTAACATTTAAATATATATAAAATATTTTCCCAGAATGTTGAGTACATGTGCAATCCTTCATGTATTTCCTGATACACTGAGGATAATAGTAGCAAAAAAGAGAATAATTTATCATTTCCTTTAGTTCATACTAGATTCCTATACTCTGGGAGTCCATAAATAATTATTATACACAGGAGAAGGCATTTCATATAGTGGGAGTAAATGTGCAGGATAGTTAGGATCTCTAAGAGGTAGTGTTTGGTGATACGCAGTTCTTTCTGTAGAAATGATGAGTTAGGGCAAGAACTTCTCTAAGTGCTGGTCAGCATTAGAAGGCTTTGAAGAGAATAGGCCAACCAAAGAAACAGTGGAAAAATATTTTTTCTATATAAGCACTGAAAGAAGAGCTGGTATATTATTTCATCAGGAATCTTGTTTGCCTTTTCCAGTTTCTGATGCCGTCTAGGAACATTTGAATGTTGAAGTGATGTTTGTACTTAATTTTAAACTAATTGTTTTTAAAGAGTTGTCAAACTTCTTCACATTTCATGTAGGGCTTCTTTTAATTGTAACCAAAAGATTTTATACCATGTTTATTTATTTATTTATTGCTTTTTTTTAAGGTCTTGCCAATGATTTTAGCACAAATTCTACAAAATCATTGCTTTATTCAACACCTAAAACAGGAGACATTTGTATTCAGTCACCAAGCAAAGAGGTAGGTCAAAAAGAAGAGCTGGTATAGCTTTAATAGTTTAATGATGAAACATTACACAAATGTAGTTACATTTATTCTAGTTGTTTTTAAGTCTTATTCTTAAAAGGGAATCCTATATTCCCACTCTCTTTATCATTTAGAGGTGTTTTGTGCCAGTTTTGCCTTGGTATCTCAAGTGTTTGAAATTGGAGGTCTGGGTGTAGAATTATTACATTGCAGCACAATCATTTTTCACCTCTCCTAAAATAATACTTGAATTAGGTTTTTAGGAAAGTGGGCAACTGCTGAAGTTCCTAATCCAGGTTGGCAAATTTGGTTATATTCTGAAAACCAAAGTTAATCTATTGCTGTAAGGAGAATCAGTCTTTTAAAGATTATATCTCGGGCACCTGGGTGGCTCAGTGGGTTAGGCCACTGCCTTCGGCTTGGGTCATGATCTCGGGTCCTGGGATTGAGTCCTGCGTCGGGCTCTCTGCTTGGCAGGGAGCCTGCTTCCCTCTCTCTCTCTGCCTGCTTCTCTGTCTACTTGTGATCTCTCTCTGTCAGGTAAATAAATAAAATCTTTAAAAAAAAAAAATAAAGATTATATCTTAAGAGGTTAGGTTGACCTAACTCTACAAAATAGCAAACTTTCAAATAGAATTTGTGAAGCTAATGAATAAAGGCAAGTTATTCAAAAGTATAATACAAATTGGAGAGAAAAATTACGTAGTAGTAGAAATAACATTGATTAGAAATTTGTATAAATACCTAACTATATAGGTATTTATGAACAATGAAGAGGTTAGGGTTGTGGACCCACCCTTGCAGTTGAAAATCCACTTATAATTTTGGCTTCCCAAACACTTTACTAATAGCCTACTGTTGACTAGAAACCTTTGTGATAACATAAACATTTGATTAACACATATTTTGTATATGTATTAAACAGTTGATTAACACATAATTTTGTATATGTATTATATACTGTATTCTTATAGTTAAGTAAGTTAGAGGGTCGCCTTGATGGTGCAATTAGTTAATCATCTGGCTCATGGTTTTGGCTCAGGTTGTGATCTCAGGGTCATGAGATTGCGCCCCATGTCAGGCTCTGAACTCAGCACGGAGTCTGCTTTGAGACTGTTCCTTTCCCCTTTCCCACTCTCTCTCTCTAAAAAAAAATTTAAAAAGCTAGAGAAAAGAGAGTGTTAAGAAAGTTATAAGGAAGAGAAAATACACTTACAGTACTGTATTTATTGCAAAAAATTGTGAATAAGTGGACCCTCACAGTTCAAACCCTTGTTCAGGGATCAGCTATATATAGCCTTTTGGTTCCGAAGACTGAAAACAGATCCAGAATTGAGAGACCTTCTCTTTAATGTGGTAAATTATATAGTACTGGTTTTTGAAAGTTAAATCAACCTTAAGTTTTCTGAGATAAATTTGACTTGGTCATAAAGTATTAACCTTTTTAAATTAGTTTGCTAGTATTTGAAGCATTTGCGTCTATGTTCATGAACAATATTGTCTTTTATTTCTTTTCGCAAAATGTTCTTATAGGGCTTTGGTATCAAAGTTATGCTAGGGCTTTCACTCCTCGGTAGGAAGGGACAGATTGCAGTAGGCCAACATTTCTGCTGTAAAAGCTAGTTAAAAAGAATGAAATGCAAACAACTTCTATTTTTAGAGACTCGGGGAGCTGTGGAAAGAACAAAGGCTGGATAAAATTCCAAAGAGAGAAGAATCTTGAGATGAGTTGATGATTATTAATCTTTTTCTTTCCTTAGAGTGTTAGCTCATTTGGTGCAAAAGCTGAGGGCTTTAGGCCTGCTCACACAGAGAGAGTCTATGTGGGAAAGCGTAGTTTTTGTCAGCTGTGCTGAGATGGCATGACAAACTGGATTCCAGGGATGTTCCAAATGGGTAGGCACTTTTCCTTAAAGAACATTTTTAAGTTCTGGGGCTGGCACAGAATCCTGAGCCGGAAAGGTGGAGTGACATATAGAGTCTTGCTATGCCAAGAAGGCAATTGCCAGATTTTGAAGCAGTCTGAGGCAAGAGGCTAAAAAGTTGAACAGAAACCTTCACAGGACAGAACTGAAGTCTCCTAATATTTAAGGGCTAAGGGGACTCACCTGGCTCTCAGTTTCCCAGGAGACCTCATTCTGAAGAACAGGGTAGTCTACAAATGGATTGAGTCTCACTAAAATGTCATCTCAGACTGACTCATCTTAATCCTTGAGAGAGTGAGGATCTGTTCATTTCAGTCCAATCTGCCTAAAAAGAGATAAGGTTTCTTTCTACTCTATAGAAAGATTTTGGGAACTCTACTAACTTTTTTTTCTAATTAAGCTTTTTGTATTGAGATAATTCTAAATTAACAAGCAGCTATAAGAAATGGAGTGCAGGCCTTTACCTGGTTTCCTCTATGGGTAACATCTTGTAAAACTATAGTTGCAGAATTACAACCAGGATATTGACATTAATACAGACATGGGGTTCGATTTCATAACCCTGATATTGTGACCTGAGCTGAAATCAAGAGTCAGACTCTCAACCGACTGAACCACCCAGGGGTCCCTGCTTTTAGTGGTTTGAAATTTCATGATATTCCTTGATGTTAGATTCCTCTAACTCTTCTTTTTTTTTTTTTAATTTTTTAAAAATACTTTTTAAAAAAGATTTTATTTATTTATTTGACAGATCATAAGTAGGCAGAGAGGCAGGCAGAGAGAGGAGGAAGCAGGCTCCCTGCTGAGCAGAGAGCCTGATGTGGGGCTCGATCCCAGGACCCTGAGATCATGACCTGAGCCTAAGGCAGAGGCTTAACACACTGAGCCACCCAGGCGCCCCTCCTCTAACTCTTCTTATTAAGATTTCTTTTTACAGTTTCTGTTTCTTGCAAATTCCTTGCCTTTTTGTACTAGAGCCTTTTGTCATATGTCCAGTGAATCTTAGTGGTCTCTTCATATTTGAATGGAAAACTAAAATGGTGATTGGAAGTTCTATTTGTGCAGTAAAATTTGTGCCTTGGTAGATTTTACTGAGCTATGATCTGTCTGGGCCATGTCACTGTGGATGTCGAGGTGTTACTATCTACAGGTTTTTTTTAAAGCTTGGCTTGGTAGGTTTTTCTGACAAATGTGTCCTGCTTGGGAGTCTGATTCTAACTACAAATGTTCTCAGCCACGTGAAGCAGAGGGAAGGTACGACTGGATGCTTCCACTTAATATCTCTGTTGCTACTGTATTACTCTTACTTTCAGCTGTGTCTGAGTCTATAGTCTCTCTGATTCTGAAACTCAGGAGAGTAAACATCTAATATGACAGGGTTGGAAGAGGAGAGGCTCCGTGACTCTGACTGCTTCTTGTACCTACTTTTAGCAACTCTTCTGTTTGTAGGCCTCACTTGGAACCCGTCTTTTAGAGGTGCCTTGCACATCTAATTACTGATCTTACTGGTTTCTCCATAAATATTAATCTCTCTTCTTCTGTGCTTTTTCAGCATTTTTCTGCTCTCTCTGGACTGATTAGTTGCTGCTGATCTGCTTTCCAATTTAAGAAAAGTTTGTTGACATCTCCCATCTGTTCCCTTCTCTTTCTCCTCATACTTCTGGGTTTATACATTTTAAAAAATCCTAATGAGGTTTTAAGAGGAATACAGTATAGTGAAAACTTGCTTTTGTTTCTTTATATAATTGAGTTTCATAGTGTATTCACTGAACAACAGTGCAGTGGCTTCCTTATTTATATATTCCCCAACTGGTAGATTTGTTTCCATCTATTTATTATTACAGTCATGTACACTGATGTGCACCTTTGTCCATGCCTCTTTGTGCACCTGTTGTAAACTGTATTTCTGTAGGATATGCACATTTCAAATGAAATTGTTAAATATTGTCAATTTTTTCTGCAAGATGATTTTACCAGTTTTCTTTGCCACATGCAATGTATGAATGAGATTTCCCTTTTCTAGATTTTTAAAATTTATGACTTGGTATATTTCAAATTTACAGGAGAAAATATATTATGCAAGGTATTAAAAATAATATAAATGAGCACTTATGTACCCATCCCTCAGTGTAAGAAATATCCGTACTTCTGCAGCATCAGTGTATCCCACTGTGTGGTTTATTGTTTTTAAATACTTTTTGTTCCCATTTAAAAACAAGTGTATTTAATCAGAATTACTAATTTTTAATTGCTCTAATGTTATATATCTTTTAGGCTGAATGCCAGAAATCTCAAATGAAGTCAGTTCCAGTTTCTTTAAGGAAGAAAGAAGCCTCTGTTCCAAGTGAAGTTGTCAGCAGATCAGGTTGGTGGCATCCCCATGGATATTATTTACTTAGACATATTTAAAAGGAGGTGCTGAAAGTGTTGCATGTGTTGGCTTGGGTGACAAATTCGTGGGTTAGCCTAGGCAAAGTGGTCAGTGTTTGTTTTTTTTTTTTAACATGAATAATAAACTTTATTTGAATATTTGTTTCTTTGTTTTAGTGGTAAGAAATTTGATTATTAGGATACAGTAAGAGATGTTAACCAAGAATTATTATAGGGCTATAGGTTTTAAGAATTTTCAAATAGATTTGGCTTTTTTTTTTTTTTTAACAAATAATAAATATTATCTCACGTAGTTTCTGTGGATCAGGAATTAAGAAGCAGCTTAGTAATTGGATGGTTTTGGTTTGCAGTCTTTCATGAGGTGGTGGTCAAGATGTTGGCCAGTGTTGCAGTCATCTGAAGGCTTGAGGGGTTAAGGATATATTTCCAAGATGACTCACATGGGGCTGGATGTGAGCAGAAAGCCTTAATTCCTTTCCACATGGCCCTCTCCATGGGCGGCTTCTTCTTTTTTTTTTTTTCCCCAAGATTTTATTTATTTGACAGAGAGAGATCACAAGTAGGCAGAGAGGCAGGCAGAGAGAGAGAGAGGGGGAAGCAGGCTCCCCACTGAGCAAAGAGCCCGATGAGGGGCTCGATCCCAGGAGCCTGAGATCATGACCTAAGCCAAAGGCAGAGGCTTAACCCACTGAACCACCCAGGCGCCCCTCTCCATGGGCTTTGTGAGCATCTTTTTTTTTTTTTTTAAACTGAGGTATAAATGACTTGTAACATTATGTTAGCTTCAAGTATACAACATGATTTCAATGTTGTATACACATAGTGTTTTTTTCCTCTTTTTTTTGTTCATTTCCTTTAATTAGTCATGTGTGCTGCTACTTTGAAAAGTTTATTTACATTTTTAAAATTTAATTAATTATTTTTATTTTGTTATGTTAGTCACCATACAGTACATCATTAGTTTTTGATATAGTGTTCCATTATTCATTGTTTGTGTAAAATACCCAGTGCTCCATGAAATATGTGCCCTCCTTAATAATACCCATCACTGGGCTAACCCATCCCCCTTCCCTCTCCCCTCTAAAACCTTCAGTTTGTTTCCCAGAGTCCTGTCTCTCATGGTTTGTCTCCCCCTCTGATTTCCCTCCTTTCATTTTTCCCTTCCTTCTCCTAATGTCCTCCGTGCTACTCCTTATGTTCCACAGGTAAGTGAAACCATATGATAATTGACTTTCTCTGCTTGACTTATTTCACTCAGCATAATCTCCTCCAGTCCCGTCCATGTTGATGCAAAAGTTGGGTATTTGTCCTTTCTGATGGCTGAGTAATATTCCATTGTATATATGGACCACATCTTTATCCATTCATCTGTTGAAGGCCATCTCAGCTCTTTCTGTAGCTCGGCTACTGGGGACATTGCTCCTATGAACATTGGGGTGCATATGACCCTTCTTTTCACTACATCTGTATCTTTGGGGTAAATTCCCAGTAGTGCAATTGCTGGGTCATAGGGTAGCTCTATTTTTAACTTTCTGAGGAATCTTCACGCATTTTCCAAAGTGGCTATACCAACTTGCATTCCTATCAACAGTGTAAGAGGATTCCCCTTTCTCCACAGCCTCTCGTTTCTTGCCTTGTCAATTTTTGCTATTCTAACTGGTGTAAGGTGGTATTTCAGTGTGGTTTTGATTTGAATTTCCCTGATGGCCAATGATAATGAATGCTTTTTCATGTGTCTGTTAGCCATTTGTATGTCTTCTCTGGAGAAGTTACTGTTCATGTCTTCTGCCCATTTTTTGACTTGATTATTTGTATTTTAGGTGTTGAGTTTGAGAAGTTCTTTATAGATCTTAGATATCAGCCCTTTGTCTGTAGTGTCATTTGCAAATATCTTCTCCCATTCCATGGGTTTCCTCTTAGTTTTGTTGACTGTTTCCTTTGCTGTGCAGAAGCCTTTTATCTTGATGAAGTCCCAAAAGTTCATTTTCGCTTTTGTTTCCCTTGCCTTTGGAGATGTGTCTTAACAGAAGTTGCTATGGCCAATGTTGAAGAGGTTACTGCCTGTGTTCTTCTCTAGGATTTGATGGATTCCTGTCTCATCTTGAGGTCTTTGATCCATTTAGGTTTATCTTTGTGTATGGTATAGGAGAAGGTCGAGTTTCATTCTTTGTATATAGCTATCCCATTTTCCCAGCACCATTTATTGAAGAGACTTTTTTGCCTTGGATATTTTTCCTGCCTTTTCAAAGAGTAGTTGACCATAGAGTTGAGGGTCCATGTCTGGAGTCTCTATTTTGTTCCATTGGTCTGTGTGTCTGTTTTTGTGCCAGTACTGTACTGTCTTGATGATTACAGCTTTGTAATATAGCTTGAAGTCAGGCAATGTGATTCCTCCAGCTTTGTTTTTCTTTTCAACATTCCCTTGGCTATTTGAAGTCTTTTCTGGTTCCATACAAATTTTAGGATTTTGGTTCCAGCACTTTGAAAAATGCCATTGGTATTTTGATCAGGATGGGGTTGATAGTATAGATTGCTCTGGGCAGCATAGACATTTTAACAATGTTTATTCTTCCAATCCATGAGCATGGAATGTTTTTCCATTTTTTGTTTTTATGCCTTTTTTGATTTCTTTCATGAATGTTCTGTAGTTCCTAAAGTATAGATCCTTTACCTCTTTGGTTAGGTTTAGTCCAAGGTATCTTATGGTTTTTGGTGCTATAATAAATAGAATCAATTCTCTAATTTCTCTTTTTACAGTTACATTGTTAGTGTATAAGAAAGCAACTGATGATTTCTGTGCATTGGTTTTTTTATCCTGCCATATTACTGAATTGCTCTGTAAGTTCTGGTAATTTGGGAGTGGAGTCTCTCAGGTTTTCCACATAAAGTATGTCATCTGTGAAGAGAGAGAGTTTGACGACTTATTTGCATTTGAATACCTTTTATTTATTTTTGTTGTCTGACTGTAGTTGCTAGGACTTCTAGTGCTATGTTGAACAGTAGTGATGAGAATGGGAATCCTTGTCATGTTCCTGATCTTAAGGGAAAAGCTCTCAACATTTCCCCATTGAGAATGATATTCGCTGTGGGTTTTTCATAGAGGTATTTTATAAAATTGAGGAATGTTCCCTTTTTCCGTATACACTGAAGAGTTTTAATCAGGAAAGGCTGCTGTAGTTTGCAAATGCTTTTTCTGCATAAGTTGAGAGGACCATGTGGTTCTTTTCTCTTATTTATGTATTCTCTCACATTGATTGATTCACAAATATTGAGCCACCCTTACATCCCAGGGGTAAATCCTTTCTGGTTGTGGTGGATAATCATTTTAATGTACAGTTGGATCCTATTAGTTAGGATCTTGCTGCTTATTTTGGCATCCATATTCATGAGGGATATTGGTCTGAAATTCTCTGTTTTGATGGGATCTTTGCTTGGTTTTGGGATCAAGGTAATGCTGGCCTCAGAGTCTGGAAGCTTTCCTTCTGTTTCTATTTTTTTTGAAACAGCTTCAGGAGAATAGGTATTATTTCTTCTTTGGATGTTTGGTAGAATTCCTCAGGGAGTCCATCAGGTCATGGACTCTTGTTATTTGGGAGGGTTTTGATCACTGCTTCAATCCCGATACTGGTTATTGGTCTATTCAGGTTGTCAATTTCTTCCTGTTTCAGTCTTGGTAGTTCATAGGTTTCTAGGAATGCATCCATTTCAGGTTGCTTAATTTATTGGCGTATAGGCGTTGATGATAATTTCTGATAATTGTTTCTATTTCCTTCATGTTAGTTGTGATCTCTCCCCTTTCATTCATAATTTTATTAATTTGACTCCTTTTCTCTTTTCTTTTAGATTAAGTGTGGCCAGTGGTTTTATTGATCTCATTAATTCTTTCAAAGAACAGCTTCTAGTTTCATTGATGTGTTTTACTGTATTTCTGGCTTCTAATTCATTGGTCTCTGCTCTAATCTTAATTATTTCCCTTCTTGTGTGTAGGTAGGCTTAATTTGTTGTTGATTCTCCTGTTCTTTAAGGTGTAAAGAGAGTTCATGTATTCAGGATTTTCTTGGTTTTTTTGAGTGAGTCTTGGATGGCTATATATTTCCCCCTTAGGACCGCCTTTGCCATATTCCATAGGTTTTGGACCAATGTGTTTTTGTTCTCATTGGTTTCCATGAATTGTTTAAGTTCTTCTTTGATTTCCTGATTGACCCAAACATTTCAAGCAGGATGGTCTTTAGCTTCCAAGTATTTGAAGTTTTTCCAAACTTTTCCTTGTGATTGAGTTCCAGTCTCAAAGCACTGTGGTCTGAGAATATGCAAGGAATAATTTCAGCCTTTCAGTCTTTTGGTGTGGGTTGAGACCTGATTTGTGACTCAGAATGTGGTCCGTTCTGGAGAAAGTTGCCTGTGTGCTCAAGAAGAATGAGTATTCTGCTGTTTCAGGGTGGAAGGTTCTGTATATCTCTATGAGGGCCATCTGGCCTGGTGTGTCATTTAAAGCACTTCTTTGTTGATTTTCTGCTTAGATGATCTGTCTGTTGCTGAGAATGGACTGTTGAGTGCTCCTACAATTAACATATTATTATCTATTTGTCTATATTTTGGTTAACAGTTGGCTATTCCTATGTTGAGGGCATAGATATTTACAATTGTTAGATCTTTTTGCTGGATTGACCATTTAAGAATGATATAGTGTCTTTCTGTATCTCTAACCACAGTCTTTAGCTTAAAATCTAATTTGTCTGATTTGAGAGTTGCCACCCCAGCTTTATTTTGAAGCCCACTGGCATGAAAGATGCTTCTGTATCCCTTCACTTTCGGTCTGGATGTATCTTTAAGTTCAAAATGAGTCTCCTGTAGACAGCATATGGATGGGTCCTGTCTTTTTATCCAGTCTGCGACCCTGTACCATTTTATGGGAGCATTTAGGTCATTCACGTTGAGAGTGATTATTGAAAGATACAATTTTATTGTCATTGTTAAGCTGGTGAAGTCCTTGTTTCTATAGATTGTCTCTGTAAATTTCTCTATCATTCTTGGGGTCTTACTCCTTTCATATGAACCCCCCTTAACTTAATAGTCATAGAAAATCCCCCCCTGCTTAATATTTCTTACAGCAGTAGCTTAGTGGTCGCATATTCTTTCAGTTTCTGCCAGTCTTGGAAGCTCTTTATCTCTCCATCCATTCTAAAAGACAGCTTTGCTGGATAAAGTATTCTTGGCTGCATGTTCTTCTCATTTAGTACCCTGATATGTCTTGCCAGCCCTTTCTGGGTTGCCAGGTCTCCATGGACAGGTCTGACATTATTCTGAGGTTCCTCCCTCTATACATAAGGAATGTAAGGAATCTCTCCCCTAACTGCCCTTAAGATGGTTTCCTTGACACTAGAATGTTTCATGGCTTTATTTATTTCTCTAATTCTGTTTTCATGGATTTTAAGCTGTTTGTTCCAGGCCTCCTCCTGCTCCTTCTTTTCTATCAGTTTGTCTTCTAGATCATTAATTTGTTCTTCTGCCTGGTTTACCCTGACTAGATAGGCAGTCTCTTCTCCAGAGAGCCCTCCAGGTCACACTGACTCTGTTTTTGTCTGTGCTGCTAAAAACCAGAGCGTTCTGGGTTGTATGCCCCCCAGCAGTATTACCAGCCCTTATTTCCAGGTTCAGGCACGTCTCTGCCCTTTGTGCTTCTGAAACTGCCAACTGCCCGCAGTTTGCACTTGCCCCCCTGCAGCTCCAGGTTTCAGTCTGGGGGCTGCCCCAAAGTCCTCTCCCTGCAGCTTGCTACCAGTCTGTGAGTCTCTGCCGCTTAACCAGCTGAACTACCCAGGCGCCCATTATTATTATTTTTTTAATATTTTATTTATTTGACGGAGAGAGATACAGTGAGAGAGGGAACATAAGCCGGGGGAGTGGGAGAGGGAGAAGCAGGCCTCCCGCTGAGCAGGGAGCCCAGTGATGGGGCCCAATCCCAGGACCCTGGAATCACCACCTGAGCTGAAGTCAGCTGCTCAAGAACTGAGCCACCCAGGTGCCCCGCCCTTATGTATTTTAGTCATAGATATTTGATCATAAACTAAATGAACTGTGAGTCTTCTGAAAACTGTTTCTAGTTATTGCTGTTGAATTTTAAAAAGCACATTTGAATCTAATACTATTATTTTAAAAATTTCTAATGTCTTCATATAATTTTCTTCCAGGTCAGGACCATGAAGTTCATCAGCAAATTTTGGCAGCTGGTATTGGTTCTAAAAATACACCTGACTCGAGAAAAATGTCGAGTAAAAAACTAAAAGATCATCGCAGTGAGGCTGATAAGGAAATACACTTACCAGTTGGTTCACCTTTTGTTCTTTTGGATGCAAAAGCTTCTGTATCACAAAATGTGATTCCATCCATTGCCCAAAAGAAAGAGGTCTACGCTTCGGAAAATTCAGTAAATACATTGTCTTCAAGTATGGAGATTTCTCTTAAAACCAGGAAAAGGTGAATTTTTATTTACTGAAATAATATCAATCTGCTTAAAAATTTTAAAGTTATTTATTAATTAATTTTTAATTTATTTTTAATGTATTTTATAGTAAGTATTGAGGAATATTAACATGAGAAGAGCATAACATAGTTCAGTTTATATTCAGTTTATATAATAAGGAAGGCTTAAAGTATACTTCAGAGAAGTTTGTGGGTAAACATTTCTATAGTTTATGGAAAAAAGTGTTTTCTTCTGATAATAAGTTTTCTGTATCTTCCTAAGAGTGTTTTCTCTATGTCATTTGTAATTACAGTAGTAGGTATATATTGGCTCATTTCTAGGGTAGCAAAGGATAAGTATTTTGAAGATAAGTTGTGGTGAATCATTGTCTATTTCTTGGGGCTCATTTTGGCCCTTAAGAAGCAAAGTAGATCATTCAAAGTCCTTTGCTACTGGGGACTTTTGCAGTGAGTGTAATTAATGTCTGCCTAGTGTCTTGTGTAATTCTTGGAGCCAAGGAGTTAAATACATTCTAAGATTTTGCTATTCAAAATGTGGTATGGGGCTCAGGATCAAGAGCAATGCATTATCTGGCAGCTTATTAGAAATATAGAATCTCAAACCCTATTCTAAACCTACTAACTCAGAATCTACATTTTAATAAGATTATTCAGATGATTGAAAATCTTACTAAATGTTTGAGAACGAGTCCTTTAGGATTTATTCAGTATTTATTCAGCTTGCCTTCCTTTCAACTTTTTAGGTTAAACTTTGAAGATAAAAATGCTTTGAAGGAAGTAGAAATAGCAAATAAAATACCAGAAATAGAGGATAAAGTATCAGAAGAACCACAAGAGAGGAAATCGTCAAGAGCATCTCAGAAAAGAGTACCAGATTTAGAAGATGAAATTCAGCCACAAACTAAAAAGAGTTTTTCAACATTGTTTTTAGAAACTGTAAAAAAGAAAAGTGAATCCAGGTAAGTTATTAAGAAACTGTCCTTTGAGGCATTTTTTCTTTATATTCTGTAAATAATATCAAGGATTCTTAATGCTGTTTAACTAAAAGTTAATCTTAATTGGTGTAAATTTTAACGGAAATTATGCCTAACCCTAAGGAGAGTGTAGTTTCTTACCAGCAAATCACCCCCAAAGTCATCATTAGGTACTTACTAAATTAAATGTGAAAGACAGTAAGTTTATTCATAATTCATTGCTTTCATTGCTTATTCAGTGCTTTTGCTCCTTAGCACTTTCTAGTCTGTATGATATCAAAGAATGAAGGCAGTACTTAGAGATAGAATTATGTCGTGGTGTATTTCACTGTTAAGAGCTTTAAATCTTCTTTCCTTTTTTTCTTCTTGTGTTAATAAAAGTGTGATCCTAGAAGAAATTTTAATCTGTTCTTGCCTACTAAAAAACCTTCAGAAGTTCTTCAGTGTCCACACTGTGATTCTTAACTATGGCTGCACATTGCAGTTAACTAGAATTAATGGCAGCTAGGGATGGGAACCACTGACCTAGAGAAACTTCAGATTTTTTTTGCTGGTATTTATGGCCTTCATTCTCCCTAGTTAACTCTTTCTGCCAACTTGCTCATACACATTTCCATTTGTCCCTGTTTTGGCATACCGTTTTCCCTTGTCAAATGCCAGTCTCCTTTTTCTTTTCTGGTGACATCTGCTTCCTGGTTGGTGGATGGCTATCTTCTTGCCATAACCTCACAAGGCAGAAGGTGGTAAGGGGGCTTTCTGCGGCTTCTTTTATGAGGATATTAATTCTATTCATGAGTGTTCCACACTCATGACTTAATCATCTCGTAAAGGCCCCACCTCCAAATACTATCCCATTGGGGATTTGGTTTCATCTTATGAATTTTGGAAGTATACATTTAGTCTGAAGCAAGTGTCAACATTGTTTCCTAAGGATATCATCAGTTAGAATAATCTTGATGTTATGGAAGTCCCTTGAAGTAAAATAGAGGAGCAGAGTTAGAGAATTCTTTTACTTATTTATTTATTATTTATTTGACAGAGCACGCACGCGCTCATGCAAGCACAAATAGGGGGAGTGGCAGGGAAAGGGAGTAGGGGGCTTTCCAATGTGGGGCTCCCAGGACCCTGGGATCATGACCTGAGCTGAAGGCAGATGCTTAACTGACTGAGCCACCTGGGCACCCTTAGAGATTTCTTATTGGCTGGTTTAGGAAGGCTTAATTTTTAAATTCTTAGCATTACTTTTTTATGTATAAAAACTAACAGATACTGTTAGTTATATACAGTAAAGCAAATTAAATCTATTTTTAACAGATTGGCTGTTTCTTTAAATGTTGAAAAGTAACATTTCTGTTTAAACATTCATTCATTATGGTTTTCTGTTTGTATTGACTTTGTTTTTCATTAGACTTTCTAGTTTTCTAATTACATAAACTTGCAAAACTCTACCTATTAGAAGATAGTATATTTCTTAGCATATATATACACACATACATACAATTTTTTTTTTTTAAGATTTTATTTATTTATTTGACAGAGATCACAAGTAGGCAGAGAGGCAGGCAGAGAGAGAGAGAGGAGGAAGCAGGTGCCCTGCTGAGCAGAGAGCCTGATGTGGGGCTCGATTCCAGGACCCTGGGATCACGACCTGAGCCGGAGGCAGAGGCTTTAACCCACTGAGCCACCCAAGCACCCCCACACATACATACAATTTAACTAAAAGTTAATCTTAATTGGTGCAAATTTTAATTGAAATTATGCCTAACTGTAAGGAGAGTATAGTTTCTTACCAGCAACACACACATGTGTGTGTATGTGTATGTAAGTATACTGTTTTACAGTTTAAGAATTATCAGGGGCTTGAGATTAGGTAAGTAGGGAAGACGTTTTCAATTCATAATTTTTTGGTATATTTTATTAGTGAAAACAGAAAAAGCAGACACAATGATGGTTAAGCATCCATACTCAGGTGGGAAAGGCAGAAACAGGAGTGCATATGCTAGCTTCAGAGTTTGGTTGTTTACCCTAAGGTTTTATTTATGCATATCTCACTTCAATATGTGGTTTGCTTGAGGCTGTTATAAAAAGGAAGGAAATAGAAAAGAGTCCATCAGATTACTATCCTTTAAATAATTCTTCCTTCTCTAGAAAGCTTTCCCAACTAATTGGAAGAGATGGTGTTTAATCCCAATTTGCCTGCCTTTCTAGATATGTTCCATTTATTTCTGTACCATGATTGCAATATTAAAACTTATTTGAAAAGTATGTGAATTATTCAAACTTGGAATAATTTTTACATAATATAATTTGGTGCATAATTTAGTAGTGTTTTCTTAGAATATTAGACTTGAAGATGTCTTGAAAATAATCTTGTCTTGAATGTGAAGACATCTGGCCCCCAAGAGACAGCTATGCATCCATTCATACATAAAATTAGTATAACATTATATATAATAATGGCATGCATTTTTGAACTGTCTGTCAATGTGTCTGGGCTTTGTTTAACACATTTCTGAGTTGTTTTTTTTCTTCTTGTAAATATTTTTTATTTATTTATTTGACATCCAAAGATCACAAGTAGGCAGAAAGAGGGGGAAGCAGGCTTCCTGCCGAGCAGAGAGCCCAATGCAGGGCTCCATCCCAGGACCCTGGGGGTCATGACCCGAGCCAAAGGCAAAGGCTTAACCCACTGAGCCACCCAGGCACCCCACACATTTCTGAGTTTTATCTGTTCAGTATATAAAATGGGTTGCGGGGAGCATTAAATTAGTTGATGTCTAGACTTCCAACTCTAAATTTAAATTGAGATTCAATTCAGATTTCATTAGTGTTATAAATGAGTGTAATCAGGTATTATAGAAGTGTAAAAGAGGATTTTCAAGGGTAAGGGAAAATTGAGGTGTGTTTTGTTCTTTAAAATATACATAGGGGAGAGTGGGAGTTGAGGGAAATTGGAAGGGGAGATGAACCATGAGAGACTATGGACTCTGAAAAACAATCTGAGGGTTTTGAAGGGGCGGGGGGTGGGAGGTTGGGGGAACCAGGTGGTGGGTATTATGGGAGGCACGTATTGCATGGAGCACTGGGTGTGGTGCATAAACAATGGATTCTGTTATGCTGAAAAGAAATAAAGAATATATATATATACACATAGGGGCGCCCGGGTGGCTCAATCATAAGTGGCTGCTTTCAGCTCAGGTCGTGATCCTAGCATCCTGGGATCAAGCCCTGCATCGGGCTCCCTGCTTGGCAGGAGGCCTGCTTCTCCCTCTCCAGCTCTCTCATGCTTGTGTTCCCTCTCTCGCTATCTCTCTCTGTTGAATAAATAAATAAAATCTTAAAAATAAAAAAAGATACATAGATTTTATTTCCTGTATAGATTATGGTCTTCACAAAGCAAAGGTAAAAACTTAATTTTTTGAGCTATTATTTATTATAACATCCTGTTTTAGTCCTATTGTTAGGCATATGGCAACTGCTCCCCTTCACTCATCTCCTTCAAATGATGTGAATTTGTTAGAGGATGAATTTATAATTGATGAATCAGAAAGAAGTTTTGCCAGTCGATCTTGGATTACTATACCCAGAAAGGCTGGGCCTCTGAAACAATGCACAGTAAACCCTGCAGAGAACTCTGCACTCCTTCAAAGTAAGAAGTCAAGAGAAAAACATCACAGTGTATCACCTGCAAATTTGACAAGTGACAGACATTCTGACACAGCTTACCCAGTAGAGAAATCTCAGCCTTCTGAACAAAAAAGACTGGGTAAGGGGTGTGCTTTGGCAAATGAACTGGAAAATCATTATGGATCTACAAAATATGAAATGTATAATGAGAATACAGAAAAATCGTCTGGAAAGAAAAAGACTATAAAACAAAAACAGAGAAGAAAATTTAAGGACAGTGTACCTGAAGAACACGTTGATGTGGCTCAGTCTAAAGAAAAAAATACAAATATGTCACATATCACCCAAGGTAAGTTACAGAGATATTCAGACAGAAATATGGAAGAGTGTGAAGAGATGATAAATACTGATATTTCCCAAAAAACAGATGCTGCCAGTGTGTAAGTTTTTTGCATGAAGTATACCTGTGAATATTATCCTACCACTTCATGTTCTTGTAATATTTCTATTTAGCTTTGGGAAGTAGGCAAAGTAAACCTAAATCTATAAGCTCTTTTCTAGTATCTCTGTTTTACATGTAATTCAATTCTGAGTCACTTGAGTTTTGTGTAGCTTCTAAGATGGCAGCATATATAAAGGAAAAAGTGAAGGGAAAAGGCTTGTAAAGCAGATGGTTACCAGAGTATGAATAAGACAACATCATATATTCTTTGAGTTTTATTAAAATATAAACTGGGGGAAGAAAACCCTAAGATAGTATGGAGCTATTTCTTATAGGATAAAACTTCATACTCTTCTTTTCTATCATTTACTTATTTATCTAACATTCAGTAAATTGCCATACACTGTATTGGACACTGAAATTACAAAGGTAACTAAAATAGTTATCACCATTAAAAAAAATCAATGTAGTAGTGTCTGTAGACTAGGAGATATACACATATATTCACGGGATGATAATAGAATTACAGAGAACAGTTATCCAAGTAGTATCTCAATAGATCTTTTTATCTTGGACCACTGTAGTATTTATCATCCAAACTGGGACACTTGAGACTGAGAAGGGGTGTCAGGATAGGAAGCATAAACTGGGATTGTCTCAGACAAGCTTGGAGTATGGCTGCCCTCTTTATGTAATCATTTTGTAGTGATTGAGGTTTGTAATGATGACACTGTCATGAAGAAAAGATTCATTTATGTTTTTTATACCACTTTTTTTAAAGTAATAGAAGAGGTAGTTATTCTTATAGAATTTCTTTAGAATAGTTAATGGAGTAGAAAACACTTAACAAATGCATTAGACACTTTATGTGTACAAAATACAATTTAATCCTTCTTGACAGCCCTGTAAGTTAGGCAATAATACTCAAGGTTAAAAAATATTGGCTCAGGATCTGTCCCCTCATTATATTTCTTCAGCACTATCAAGAAGTCTTGAAATAAGTGAAAATGTTTTCGATGCTAATTTGAAAAAACTATCAGCTAACCAGAAAACTCTCTTCACCGGAATTGTATTTGTACCTGGAGGTCCTAGATGACTATACTATACTATAATATTGCTGATACAGAAAGGAGAAAGTATATATTAAAGCACAGTATTTAAGCTAGTTTTTATGAAAGGAAATTCTACTTTAAGTATTACTTGTTCAATTATTTTAGCTTTCTTTTTGTATAATCTAAACATAGACTTTATATTACCTGAAATAATAGTTGTCAGATTTCAGTTTTGTCTGTTTGTACCTTTGTGTATCCACCTTTTCTATTTTGCAGACCTCTCTTGTAAATGTCTGACATATCCCATATTATTATTTTTTTTAAAAAGATTTTTATTTATTTGAAAGAGAGTACAGGTCGGGTGGGGGACAGAGAGAAAGGGATGTGCAGATCCCTCAATGAGCAGGGAGCCTGACAGAGCTGAGCTTGATCCCAGGACTCTGGGATCATAACCTGAGCAGAAAGCAGATACTTAAACAACTAAGCCACCCAGGTGCACCCCCCCATATTATTTTTATTGAATTTCTTTCTCTCTTTCTTCTTTCCTTCTCTCCCTCTTTCTCTCAACTTCCTTCACTTTCTCATTAGCGGCTGGCTATTTTAAGAAATATAAAGAATCTGACTAAACTGAAGTTATAGGGAAGTGTTTTTTTTTTTTTTTAAATTAGTCCTTTACGTAGAATATTAATTCATAAAATTTGAAGGTACAAAATTTTGATTTGTCTTCTTAGGAAAAAACATTATATCAAGAAAGTATAGGGGCGCCTGGGTGGCTCAGTGGGTTAAAGCCTCTGCCTTTGGCTCAGGCCATGATCCCAGGGTCCTGGGATCGAGCATCGGGCTTTCTGCGCAGTGGGGAGCCTGCTTCCTCCTCTCTCTCTGCCTGCTTCTCTGCCTAACTGGGATCTCTGTCAAATAATAAATACAATCTTGAAAAAAAAAAAGAAAGTGTACTTGAAGGATACTGTTTAATTATAAATGTTAAACATTTATTAAGTACCTGCCAGATTCTTCACATTGATATTCAGATAAATTCTTTATCTAGATTGGTTAGTGAATGTAATGTCTGATTAATTACCAATTGTATTAATTTTTCCATCACTGTCATAACAGATTACCACATCCTTAGTGACTTAAAACAACACACATTTATTATCTTACAGTTCTGTGGGTCACAAGTCTGAAATAGATCTTGTTGAGCTAAAATCAATATATTGACAAGGTTGCTTTTCTTTCTGGTGATTCTAGGAGAGAATATGTTTCCTTGTCTTTTCCAGCCTCTTGAAGTTGTTTATATCCTTGAATCATGGTTTCCTTCTTTCATCTTCAAAGCCAGCAATACAAGGTTTCTTATATTTCCAAATTCTTTTGCCTCTTCTTCCTTTGTCCTGTCATTCTGACCACCGCTTTTAAGAACACATATAATTAGATTGGACCAGCCTAAATAACCCAGGGTAATCTCCCAATTTTAAGGTTTATTTAGTCACATGTGCAAAGTCTCTTGCCATATAAGATAACATTTTCACAGATTTTGTGGATTAGGGTGAGTACATTTTTGGAAGGATATTATTCCACTAACCATCTCAGTTCAAAGACTAATAATATGAAAATAACTTAATTCCAAGGATATTCTTACTATGAAGATATTTTTTCTTTAAATTAAAAGGCACTTGACAAATTTGTAATGCCAAAGCTAATGACTTATGTTGAAGCAGTAGACTCTTCCACTTCTCCTATCTCTTAGGCTTCTCAAACTAGATGATTTAGAAACTAATAAATTCTTCCAAACTTGCTCCTTCTTTAGTTTTCCTATCTTTATAAATGGGGCCATAATAAATTTAGTAGCTCAGGAAAGAAACCTGGATCATCTTTGACTCCTCTTTCCTTCAGCAACCTGTATAAAGTTTGACTTCCATATCTTTTACTTCTCTCCTTTCCTCTTGCTGTTCTCCTTAGCCAACTTAGTGTCATTTGTTTCTTAGATTATTTTAGCAGTTTATGCATATGCCCTCTGTCTTCTCTCTACTCTCCAGGTTCATTTCCTGGGTTACTTTATAATGAATTTCTTCCAGTTCATGAACAGACTACTATCTCAACTGTGGGCCTTTTAAAGTGCTGTAACTTTTGCTTAGAAAATTTTTACTAAATGTACTCTGTCCCCTACCAAACTTTGCACTCAGTTTAAATATCATTTTACTTGATTATTACTCCCTATCCCAGCATGTTCCTATATATGCTCCAATAACATCCTTTTTGTTTTATCAAACATATAATTACTTGCTAAATTTCCATCTCTCCTTCTGGCAGTTAGACTGAAAGTTCCATGAGAACAGGAACTATATCTGTTCTATTCCTAAAGTATCCCTTAGATCTTAGCCTTAGCAGTTATCTCTTTGGGTCATTGGAATACATTATTATTAATGACAGAAGTATTACTGTGTTTTGGGTGAATAATTTTGCTGTTTATTAAAAGATGTCTCACCTTCAAAATGATACTCCTTTACATGTAAATATGCAAATTTCCCACAGTTATAGAAATGTATTGCTTCTTTTTTTTTTTTTTAATAAAGATTTTATTTATTTATTTGGCAGAGAGGCAGGCAGAGAGAGAAGGGAAGCAGACTCCCTGCTGAGCAGAGAGCCCAATGCAGGGCTTGATCCCAGGACCCTGGGATCACGACCTGAGCTAAAGGCAGAGGCTTTAACCCACTGAGCCACCCAGGAGCCCTAGAAATGTATCACTTCTAAGTCACCTCTTTTTCTGGCCATTGCCCTACTTAGGAAAATATGTCCACTCAGTTCTAAGTCAGCTCTCTTCACATTACCATTTGTTCATACCTTCTGCATGTGTTCTTGTTTATTAGTTTTCTAAGTTGTTTGTCATTCAGTTTCTGATCTTCCCTGATCTGGAATTAGTTTCTAGAATAATTAATTGGTTTGTTTTTGAATTTGTATGATTTCTATGTTGCCGTCTGAATAAGTCTTTCATGATAGCATTTTCTTCCTCAGATTCTTTTTCCCTAAATCATTGTTCACAGTGATTTTTTTTTTTTTTAAGTTTAGTCATGAACATGGGCAATTTATGTCATCATGAGCACCTCTCACTTGTTAGAACAGTTTCTGAGGGGGCACTTGGGTGGCTCAGTCAGTTAAGCACCTGCCTTCGGCTCAAGTCATGGACCTGGGGTCCTGGGATTGAGTGCCACATTGAGCTCCTTGCTCATTGGGGAGCCTGCTTTTCCCTCTCTCTCTGCTGATCCCCCTGTTCTCTCTCTCAAATAAATAAATAAATAAAATCTTTATTAAAAAAATAGTTCCTAAGGATACTTTTGATAAGAGGAAAGAAAAAGGGGGAAATAGAGGAAAAGGAGTTAGAGAAGAGACACAAGGGTGGACAAATAGGAGGCCTGAAAATGCTGCTCACTGGTGAGGATTCTTGCAGTTTTACAGGTGATTCCTTAAACCCACTCATCAGTGGCAACCATGTTGAAAGTTCTCTGTCTTTGCTTTAGTGTTTTGTAAACTGACCCTTTATTATTTTCTATATCCATTCCCTCAGATATATTCTTCACTGTCAAGATTTTGTTATCTGTTGTAGCTCTTCTAATATCTCCCATTCTTATCACTTCTAGCATATTGGCTGATTCTCGTATTAAGCATAGTATTGGTAAAGTATATTCTTTCCTTTTTCATCAACTTTTTTTGTGCCTGGTTCAGATCATTAAGGCTAATATTTTTCTTTTACTCCTTTTATAAGCATAAATCATTCTCTTTGTCTCAAATTCAGAGTTGCCAAATCCTGTAGCTTATTGTCAATCTGGACTCAGAGAGTTATACTGCTGTAAGGGATCTTGACATAATTTGGCTTGTTTTCTATCTTTCTACTTCTCAATCACATTTAACTGGGAGAATGGCTAAAACAGCAGAACAGTGCTTTTCAAACTTGCATATGCATTTGAATTCCCTGAGGATTTTCTTAACATTTTGATTCATAAATTGGGTTAGTAGATCTCAGATGGGACCCAAGATTCTGTCTTTCTTTCATTCTTTTTTTTTTTTTTTTTTTTGGAAGATTATTTGAAAGAGAGAAATAGAGGAAGCAGAGAGAGGGGGAGGGACACGCAGACTCCCCAGTGAGCACGGGCCTGACGCTGGGTTTGAGCTCATGATCCTGAGATCATGACCTAAGCTGAAATTGAGAGTTGGGATGTTTAACCAACTGAACCACCTAGGCACCTCAAGATTCTGTATTTCTAAATAGTCTCTCCTAGGTGATGCTGATATAGATGGTCTGTGAAGTGTATTTGGCGTATCAAAACTTGGATCCTGTCTAAAATAGCTCATGCTGGAAGTACTTCTGCCAATTTCAATGCCTGCTGTAACATTGGCTTCACCCTGAATTCTTATTTCAAGCATATGTGCCAAACACAATGTTATATGCTACATATAGTAAAGATGACAAGATGTAGTTTTCATTATAGTCCAATTAAACACTATCTAATTTCTGATGCTATACTATTCTGATTCTCCCTATTTTTTTTTTGTTTGAGATTTCCTTCTGTGTCTTTACTAATTTTCCTCATTTAATCTATAAATTTTGGTGATTCTTTCCATATTCCCCAAGTTTAATAATTTACTCTTTGCTCTTCCTTTATAGTCATACCTTGAGAAAATTATTCTTTTGCTTTAGATATCATCTCCATCTGAATTATTTCCCCAAATTTACCTTCTTAGTGACTGGGCTTGTATTTCCTGTATTTTCAGATTTCAACCTGTATTATGTTCTCTTTTCATCTTTTTAAAAAGTTCTGTATAGTTTCATATTTAATTATGTGATTATATATAATACCTGCTCAATCTTATATACTGTTATGTAGTTTATTTAGTCCATGAGTATTTCTACTTGATATGAGTGTAATTCCTTCTTTGGACCAGAAATCTTTGTCTCAGTTACTTAATAAATGATGGTTTCTTGATTTATTTGATGATCAAGAAAATTTTCCATTCTGTCTACTTACACCTAATATTTTAAACCTATTTTTTTTTTTAAGATTTTATTTATGTATTTGTCAGAGAGAGTGAGCACAGGCAGACAGAGTGGCAGGCAGAGGCAGAGGGAGAAGTAGACTCCCTGCTGAGCAAGGAGCCCGATGTGGGACTCGATCCCAGGACACTGGGATCATGACCTGAGCCGAAGGCAGCCGCCCAACCAACTGTGCCACCCAGGTGTCCCTAAACCTATTTCTGAGAAAAAGAAATTTTCCATTTTGGTCATTGTGCCCTTCTTAACTGTAATATTTATATTGAAATATTGTATATTTCTCTGATTTTTCTGGTTGTCAGCCACAAAAACCAAAACTACAATTGATTTTACCCTTCTGTTAGATTCTTTTCTTACCTATTTGTCGTGGTAGTGAAATGAGGTTACTACTGACACCAAACCTTTTCATCAGCTATGTATTGCTTGCCATATTCATTGTTTACTTTCATTCTCTATTCTCTTTTTAAATTCTCTTTACAAAAATAATGCTTTTCCTACATATAAGAATATCTCTTTATTGAAACCTCACTTTAAAATCTCCTCCTTCAAAAATTAAATTGACAAAATAATGACTTAATTCAAAACAGAAAAGAAGTAGTTACTTTTTTTTTTTTAACTTGGGACTTTGGTAAGTAGTTTGAAGAAGCCATATATTTTTCCTTTTCAGAGTGTACCATTTTTTTGGCTCAGAAGTGTATGGTATCAAGCAGTGTGAAAAGTTTATATTTAACTGACAGAAACAGATCTTACTGAGAAAATTTGTCTTAAAAAAAAAAAAAGATGAAAGAAGCCCAGAGAATAAATTTAAGACATAATTGATAGTTTTTTTTAACCTATTGTGATTTTCTGAAAACTCTTTGGTTCCATAGATTGTAAATTGTTTTTTATGGTTTTCTTTAATTTAGGAAGCAAGAAAAATAGCACCAATGTTCCTTATACAGAGAATCAGAAAAAAGATAAGGAATATAAAAAGAAACATTTTCCCAGTGGGTCCAAAAAGAATAAACTTGTACCTGACGAAGTGACTTCAACTATTACAAGAAGTCGAAGAATTTCCAGGCGTCCATCTAATTGGTGGGTGGTAAAGTCCGAACAGAGTAAGTATTTTATTTAAATGATGTTCATTGAGAGCTCCAAAAAGTCATTCTGTAAGAGGCTTTATGTTTGATTTATGCTTCCATTTTCCACAGAAAATCTAATGAGGATGAAGTTAAATTGGGTCGTTAATAGAAATATCAGATCAGTTAAGTGTGAAGATATTAGGCTCTACTATACATTATAGTCTAGATATAGGGCATATAACTGGAAAAACAAACCCCCTGCTCTCATGGGACTTACATTTGAGTGGAGGAAGACCAGCAATAGAAGTGTATAAGTCATGCAGTGATAGGCATTAAAGAAAAATAAAGCAGATAAGAGATAGAGATGGGAAGTAGATGGCAGAAGTAGGCATGGTTAAGAAGATAGAATAGTGTTTTTATAAAAGGTAGTAATAAGAGTCCATTTTGATTTTTCAGAGCACATATCTCAGAAAAATGAAGAGGGGAACCAGACAGATAACATGGTGTGTAACATTTCAGACCAAGGGAATGTTATTTGAATATATTTGTAAAGGTGCTAATGGAGCATACTTGGCTGTTGAGGAATTCAGGAAGACCAGTCTGGCTAAAGATGAGTAAGCCAGGAGAGATCAAGTCAGAGAGGGAGGCTATGATAGAGAGTTTAGATGAAATGTATTGGAAGACTACTGAAATATTTTAAGTAAGATTTTAATCAAGTCAAAGTGACTTGATTGAGTCCTCTTTTAAAAGAATTATTCTTTTTTTTTTAATATCGAGACACTTTAAAAAAAGATTTTATTTATTCATTGAGAGAGAGTGAGAGAGACCGCTAGTGGGGTGAGGGTCAGAGGGAGAAGCAGACTCCCCACTGAGCAGGGATCTTGACGCAGGGGCTAGATCCTGAGGCTCCGGGATCATAACCTGAGCCAAAGGCAGATGCTCAAGCAATTGATCCACCCAGGCATTCCTAAAAGAATTATTTTTACTGCTAGATAGAGAGGAAACTAGGACATGGACACTAGTTAAGAGATTGTTGGAGGGAAGAGAAGAAAAGTGGTTGGATTTGGTATTAACAGATTGGCGTTAGAGAGAACCAGGAGTCTAGGATGACTCAGATTTTTTTTTTTTTTTTTTTCCTGAAGAAATAGAATAAGGGAGCTCTACTATTTGCTGAGATGAGGGAAAAGTATGAAAGAAGCAGATTTGGGAAGGATGTCAAGATTTCAGGTTGTAAGAAATTAATTAGATATCAAAGTAGGTATATTGAGGAAGTAGCCTGGTAAATGAGTTTAAAGTTAGGGGGAAAGATTTGGGAGGACATATAAATAGGGACTTATCAGTATATGGATGATATTTAAAACTTTAGGACTACCTGAAATCACCTAGTGATAGACTAAACCTAGAGAAGAAAAAAAGCTCAGGTCTGAGAACTGGGAGACTCCAATGCTAGGAGTCAGAATGGGAAGGAAGATTCACCAAAAGAAACTAAATGGGAACATTTAGTAAGGTTAAAGAAAATGAAGTGAACTTAGGGTTAGGAAAGCAAAATCATGAAAGCATTTTAAGGATTGAGTGATGAGCTTGTTTAAAATACTACTGATGGCTTGAGGTAGATGAGAGTTAAGGACTGACAATATAATTTTGGCTACATGGAAGTTATAGGTCACTTTGATGGAAATGGTTTCTGTGGAATGATCAGATCAAAAGCCTGATTGAAGTGGTTTCAAGAGTAGGAGGTGAGGAAGGAAAGATAGTAGGATAAGGGAGCATAAGGCTGCCTGGGTGGCTCAGTGGGTTAAGCCTCTGCCTTCAGCTCAGGTCATGATCCCAGGGTCCTGGGATCGAGTCCCTCATCGGGCTCTCTGCTAGGCAGGGAGCCTGCTTCTTCCTCCCTCTCTCTCTGCCTGCCTCTCTGCCTACTTGTGATCTCTCTCTGTCAAATAAATAAAATCTTTTTTTTTTTTAATATTTTATTTATTTGACAGAGAGAGATCACAAGTAGGCAGAGAGGCAAGCAGAGAGAGAGAGAGAGAGAGAGAGAGGGAGGAGGAAGCAGGCTCCCTGTCCAGCAGAGAGCCCGATGCGGGACTCGATCCCAGGACCCTGAGATCACGACCCGAGCCGAAGGCAGAGGCCCAACCCACCGAGCCACCCAGGCAGCCCAAATAAATAAAATCTTTAAAAAAAAAAAGATAAGGGAGCATAAAGATGGGTCGAGGATAGGGGTGTGTGTGTGTGTGTGTGTGTGTGTGTGTGTGTGTGAGATCTACAAGACTACTAACTTTGCAAGCAGGTCTTTCTAAGGATAACATTCTTAGGTCTGCTATGCTAACTTTTTTCTGTACAATATGAAACATTCATTGTTTTGGAACATTTTTGATCTTTTAAAGGTGGTTAATTGTGAAAAGATGGTAGATAAGATAACATTTACATATACAGATACTATTGACTTTGTGGTATTTAGGTCAACAAGTGAGAGTAGAACAAATATGGCACTACATCGAGGCCTTGTTGTGAATTTTTGAATCATTGGGATCCTAATTGATAGTAGAAAGAAATATTCTGTTGCAGCCTTCCTTGAATTTTGGACTTAGGTCTGAGTTTAAATTATGATTTCTCCACTTTGGGCAAGATATTTTGTTCAGTTTCTTATTCTGTAACATGATTACAAATTCTTCTACCTCATTAAAGGACTCAGGCATGTAGTTACTATATAAAATATTATCTACTACTGTTACTGCTCTGAGGAACTCACCTTTCTGTCCCAGGTGCCTAAAACTGTACTATAGCAGATGAGTGTATAAAAAGGTAAATAAAAATCTTACAAAGCCTGGATAAGTTTTCTAGAACTCTGAGACTTACCAAAAAACTTCTGTAGCAGTTTTAAAACCGATGTTGAGTTTCTGATCAAGTAGGGAGTCACAAAAATGGAAGAATGCTATAGATCTCAAAGTTAAAACAGTCCTTTATCTGCTAGAAAAAGAAAGTCTGAGGCTCAAAAAAGCAGCATCACTTGCAACCTAAGGTGATAGACCTTCGTGCTAGAACTGGAAAACAGTAGAACCCAGGTTTCCTGACTGTTGATGCATTGTTTATTTCCCTAATAAGCAACCATGCTGCTTATAGTAGATCTTTGGCCTTAACTGCTTTTTCATGTATATTGAGAAACATTTATAGAGTGCCCACTGTGAGGCAGGAATGGTGTTAGGGCCAGTACTAGAGTGAAGCAAGTGAGTAACATAGAATGAGAAATTTGAGGAGGCACTTAGTCTCAGGTTGTGTGAGTCCAGGTTCAGCCCCTGTATGACTCTGAAAGTGAGCACCTTCTCAAATTACCTACCCTAGTTAAATTTTTTTTTTTAAGATTTTATTTATTTATTTATTTATTTGACACAGAGAGACACAGCGAGAGAGGGAACACAAACAAGGGGACTAGGAGAGGGAAAGCAGGGAGCTCGATGTGGGGCTCAATCCTAGGACCCTGGGATCAGGACCCGAGCCAAAGGCAGATGCTTAATGACTGAGCCACCCAGGCGCCCCCATTTTTTTTTTTTAATGATGAAAACTTTTAAGGTTTCGTCTTTGGTATTCATTTTGCAATATATACATATATAAAATTGTTACATTATGTACCCTAAACTTACACAATGTTGTATGTCAATTATATCTCAGTAGACTGGAAAAAATTGCTTCACCATGGTCCTGGCCATGGTGTTAGCTATTGGGAATATGAAGATAGGTAAAAGAGCAATGTTGGTCTCAAAGAATTGTCAGTCTGCTGGAAGAGAAATAAGTAAACAGTTAGATGGGTGATAAGGATTTTTAATGGGTTGGGAGAGAGCTACTTAATTTAGGTATGGGAATTAGGGAAAGTTTCCTGAAGGATGAATTAGGAATCGACTGAGTGCCTGGGTGGGGTGAGGAGGAAGGATGGAATGTTTCTAGTAGAGTAGCATGTACAGAGATCTGGAGCTGAGAGTTTAACCTTTTAAAAATTGTTTTGTCAGAGCACCTGGGTGGCTCAGTGGGTTGAAGCCTCTGCCTTTGGCTCAGGTCATGATCCCAGGGTCTTGGGATTGAGTCTTACATAGGGCTCTCAGCTCAACGGGGAGCCTGCTTCCTCCCCCTGCCCCGCCTGCCTCTCTGCCTACTTGTGACCTCTGTCTGTCAAATAAATAAATAAAATCTTTAAAAAAAAATTGTTTTGTCAGAGTTATTTGGAGGGCTTGTTAAAACACAGATTACTGGGCTCTACTCAGAGCTTCTGATTTAGTCTGCCTGAAGCAAAGCCTGAGAATTTGCATTTGAAACATTCTCAAGTGATGCTGATCCTTCTGGTCTAAGGACCAACCTTTTAAGAAGCAGTGCTTTAGAGACAAGCAGGTAGTTCAGGTAGTTCAGTATTGCTGGGTTTTGGTTTATTTGGAGAATGTTGAAAAAAAAATTTTTTTTAAAGATTTTATTTATTTATTTGACAGATGGAGATCACAAGTAGGCAGAGAGGCAGGCAGAGAGAGATGAGGAGGCAGGCTCCCTGCTGAGCAGAGAGCCCGATGCGGGGCTTGATTCCAGGACCCTGAGATCATGACCTGAGCCGAAGGCAGAGGCTTTAACCCACTGAGCCACCCAGGCGCCCCGAGAATGTTGAAAATTTTGATTAATGAAGTAAACATTCTAGGTGTAGAAATAAATTATTGAAAATAGTTTCAATCACTAAAAGATTTTAGCAAGGTTGTCATGATCCAACTTGTGTTTTCCTAAGATGATTCTTGAAGCAGTCTGAAGAATGGATTGAAGAATAGCAAAGCTAGAGAAAGGGAGACTAAGAGGAGCTTTAATAATCCAGTTAAATGATGAGGGTCAGTGATAGGCCGGAGAGCTTGAAAGAAATGGATTTGAGAGGTATTAAGAATGTAGAAATGACAGGATGAGGGGATTTGGTTGTGGATAGGGACAGGAGTCTTGGATGACTCAGATTTCTGATGTAGGTGTTTGGGTAAATTGTTATACTTTTCATTAAGATAGGAACTAAAACCAAAGGGTCAGATTTGGGGGAGAGTGGTAGGTGAATATTATGATACCATCATCTGCATAGTAATTAAAGTTAAGAGTAGCAGGGTCCCTCAGAGTAGGTATCCAGAGTGAGAAGCTGAAGCTGGAAGCTTGGGAAATAATAGGATCTTAAGGATGGTGGAAGGAGTAGTGGGGAGAGACACAAAGGGTGGTTTTGGAAGCTTGTGATAAATTTAAAAGGGTTGAAAAACTGCATAGTTTATGAATTTAATTTGAAAACAAACATAGCCTTTGAAATTGGCGTGTGTAAATTACATGTAAATAAATAATGTTGTCAGTGAGCCGGATAATCTGGGTAAACATTATGCTAACTTTAGGTTATCATTGAATCCTTCAGGTCTTGTTTATAGCAATTCTCCAAGAAGAAATGAATTGTCAGTGTGTCACAACAGTAGACGGAAACCTACTGAAAAGTCAAATCAATCAACTAAGAACATTGAGGAAAAAACTATTCCATTTAAAGGGCAGAAGAGAACTACTTCGGGCAGCTCAAGAGCACAGGAGTTTTTAAACGCTAAAGATTCTGGAAGAATTATTGACCATGATGAAATTTCCAGTTGTTCCCAGAATGAGTCATTGGAAAATGATAAGGAAGACCTGGCTAAGAAGAAAAATCTTCTTAGGTATACAATATAGTTAGGTATACAATAGAGTTATTTTTGGTGTTCAGCATTTAATAGTTGGTCAGTGTCATTTAATCATTTATGCAGAAACAGTATTAGCATAAAGGGCTCTGCAGTCTGCAAAGGTGGTTGTAAATCGACAGGCAACTGTTAGTTGGAGGTTGCCCCAGGGCAAGGTAGTAATCTGAATTTGTTTCCTCGTATTAAAATGGGAATAATATATAGAATATGGGTTGTGAGTGATATATATATATATGTATTTTTTTAATTAACATATAATATATTATTTGCCTGAGGGGTATAGGTCTCTGAATCGACAGGCTTACACATTTCACAGCAGTGAGTGATGTATTTAATAAGATAAGTATTATCATCACTTAAGAGTTGCTTTTTTTAAAAAAGTGGTAAAAACATAAAATTTACCATTTTAGTCATTTTATTTATTGTTATTTTTTAAATATTTTATTTATTTATTTGACAGAGATCACAAGTAGGCAGAGAGGCAGGCAGAGAAAGAGAGAGAGAGAGAGAGAGAAGGAAGCAGGCTCCTTGCTGAGCAGAGAGCCCGATGCGGGGCTCTATCCCAGGACCCCGGAATCATGACCTGAGCCGAAGGCAGAAGTTTTAACCCACTGAGCCACCCCGGCGCCCCTCATTTTATTTTACTTTAAAGATTTTATTTATTTATTTGACAGAGAGAAAGAGATCACAAGTAGGCAGAGAGAGAGGGGGAAGCAGGCTTCGCATTGAGCAGAGAGCCCGATGTGGGGCTCTATCCCAGGACCCTGAGATCATGACCTGAGCTGAAGGCAGAAGCTCAACCCACTGAGCACACAGGCACCCCATTTTAGTCATTTTAAAAAATATATTTTATGTTTTAATTTCAGTATAACTAGCCATCTTTGTCATTTTTTAAAAAAAGTATTTATTTGAGAGAGAAGAGACAGCGCATGAGCAGGGGAGAGGAGCAGAGGGAGAGAGAGAAGAAAGAGCAGGCTCCCTGTTGAGCAGGAAGCCCAAGGCAGACCTCAGTCGCTGGACCCTGGGATCATGACCTGAGCCAAAAGCAGAAGCTTAACCAACTGAGCCAGTCAGGCACCTCTTAGTCATTTTTAATGTATAGTTTGATTCGCTTCCTTTTAAGTGAGGTTAATGTGATTTCAATAATTAGGAATACATCTTAATACTTCTCTTATCCCGGGGCGCCTGGGTGGCTCAGTGGGTTAAAGTGTCTGCCTTCAGCTCAGGTCATGATCCCAGGGTCCTGGGATCGAGCCCCACATCAGGCTCTCTGCTTGGCGGGGAGCCTGCTTCCTCCTCTCTCTGCCTGCCTCTCTGCCTACTTGTCACCTCTGTCTGTCAAATAAATAAATAAAATCTTTAAAAAAAAAAAAAAACTTCTCTTATCCCTAAGGTGGTAATAGTTAACATACTTTGAGTGCTTATTATGTGCCAGGTATTTACTGGGAGCTTTCAATGAATTTTCATCAATCCTAACAATCTAGTGAGTTAAGTGTTGTTCTTGCATATTTTTGCTTATTGATGTAGTATTTATCCTTTCATTTACTCAACAAATAATACATATATGTGAGAAACTGCAAGGTGTTAGGGATGTATGGAAATAAATTATAGTGCCCTAAAATGTAGTAGTGTATGTCATTGTAGTACAGAAAAAAAATCCCATACACATTCTCTTTAACTCTTCCACAGCATTTCCATGCTACTTTCCAGGTTTACAAAATATTTCAGGTTTACAAAAAAAAAAGTAACACCTGATTCCCCCCATGATCTCACTTAAGAAATAAAATATTATGGTGACTATTGAAATCCCATTTGTATGTTTGCTGAGCCCATTCTTCTCCCTTGTTAGTGGTAGCCTATATACTGAATTTGGTAGTTACCATTCTCGTGGATATTTTTATACTTTTTCTATGTGTGCATGTATATATGAACAGCATGTGGTATGGTTTTAAAAGTTTATAAAAATGGTTTTATTGGTATACACATCCTTCTGTGACTTGCTTTTTTCCCCACAGTTCATTTTTGAGATTATTCATGTTGATAAGTAAATTTATTTTTACTCCTTTATAAAGAGTGGAAGTTGGTAAATTTTTCTTAAAGGGCCAGATAGTAAATACTTTAGGCTTTGCTGGCCAAAAGGCAAAATGGAAACAGATATGTCTATAGTAAATAATCATGTAAGATGTAACCTTTGAAAAATATACAAACCATTCATATATATAAAAAAGTGGCTGGTTGAATTTATAGTTAATACCTTATGTGGTTATATGAAAATACTCAGTTTCTCTCTCTTTTTTAGTACTTCATTCCTTTTTATTGCAAATAATATACCACTTTTTATCCATTCATTAAAGGCTGAGTATTTGGGTGGTTTCCGGTGTTGCTGTTATTTTTTTAAAGATTTTATTTATTTATTTGAAAGAGAGAGAGAGAGAGGAGAAAAGTCAGCAGGAGAAACAGACTCCCTGCTGAACAGGGAGCCTTATGTGGGACTTGATCCTGGGACTCCAGGATCATGACCTGAGCTGAAGGTGGTCACTTAACCAATTGAGCCACCCAGGCACCCCGCTGTTATTTTTTTTAAATGATAATAACTTTTATTTATTTCCAGATGCTTCTCTTCCTTTTCTTCTAATATAATTAACATAGTGTCATATTTTCAATTGTACAGTGTTTTTAGTCTCTTGGTAATTTTTCACTGTGAAAAACAATTTTTTTAAAGGATTTTATTTTGAGAGAGTGAGAGAGCAAGCATGAGCAGAGGGGAGGGGTAGAGGGAGAAGTAGACCTCCCGATGAGCAGGGACCGCCCCCCGCCAATGCAGGACTTGATTCCAGGTCCCTGGTTACAACCCAAGCCAAAGGCAGATACTTAACCTACTGAGCCATGAAGGCATGTTGAAAAATGATTTTTGAATGGGCATTTTAGACCTGTTTCCTTGTGCATATGTGAAAGAGGTTTCTTGTAGTATATATACAAGAAGTAGAATTGCTGAATTTTAGGGTTTACTTGCCTAAATACTGCTGCATCACTCTCCAAATTGGTTGGGCTGATTTATAACCACATAACAAGGTGTGAGAGTTCTTTATTAATTTTTTTAATTCATTTGAGAGAGAGCCAGCGAGCGAGAGCATGAGCAAGGGGGAGGGGTCAGAGGGATAGGGAGAAGCAGACTCTGCACTGAGCAGGGAGTCCAATGCAAGACTTGATCCCAGGACCCTGAGATGGATCCCTGAGATGGGACCCTCAGGATCCCTGAGATGACCTGAGCTGATGCTTAACTGATTGAGCACCCAGGCTCTCCAGATAGTATATAATTTGTATTGATTTTACCTTCTTTATAAATTGTACGAATTGATTTGATATAAAAAACATACTCATTACTTTGTATATATATTTGTGTTTTTCTGTAATTGTTTTATTTAGGGTAGTCTCAAGTATTTTCAGCCTTTAAGCACTCAGCTTTTGTTTCCTTTGGACATTAGGGATATGAAAATAGGTAATCAAGAACTATATAGCTATTGCTGTGTCCCAAGTACATTTTACTTAAACCTTTTAACATTGTTTTCATAGTGGCTAACATGAGTTATATATTAGCATTTGAAGGTATTGGCTCATTTTTAGTCTATTTAACTGATGGTATTAAAATGTGTGAGATGGGTAAATTAAAACTATGTTTAGAAACCAGTTTTTTATTTTTTATCTTAGGAATTATCCATATGATAATATGGATATTATTAATTATTGACATAATTTAATACTAGTCTAGAGTCTTAAAGTTAAGTAAAGGTTTTGAAAACACAATTTAAGCTGATACATTGAGTTCTTATAATTTATGACTCTGTAAGAATTAATTCCAGGGTGCCTGGGTGGCTCAGTTGGTTGACCCTCTGACTTGTGATTGGGACTTAGGTCATGATCTCGGGGTTGTAGGGTCCAACTCTGCATTGGGCTCTGTGCTCACTGGGGAGTCTGCTTGAGATTCTCTCTCTCCTTCTGCCCCTCTCCCTACTCGTGTGCATTCTCTCTCTCTCAATAAACAAAATCTTAAAAAAAAAAAAAAAAGAATTACTTTTTAAAAAAAGACATTACTGGGGAGCCTGTGTGGCTCAGTTGGTTGAATGTCCTGCTAGTGATTTCAGCTCAGGTCATGATCTCATGGAATGTGAAATTGAGCCCCATATGACGGTCCCCCCCTTGGTGGGGAGTCTGCTTGAGATTCTCTCCCTCTTCCCCTCCCTCTGTGCTCTCTCTCTAAAATAAGTAAATAAATCTTTAAAAAAGACCCTAACTATATTACCTATTACCATTATTATTTTTTAAATTAGTTGGGCATATAATTTTATATTTTATAGTGTTCAAAGGTGTTATCACCATATTATAACCAGTAGAGTAGAGAACTTTGAGGAATTAAAACTATACTTTTTTTGGAGAAAATAAATGTAAACCTTTCAATTCTAGAATATTGTGACACACATGCACGCACACATGTACAAACACACAAACACGCACACATTGAAATCAGGGATGAGATGGATAATAGTATTTAAGCCAAAATTGATGAATTAATTGGTCTAAGGAGTTTTTCTTTTTTAAATTTTTCATTTTAAGGCATCTTCCTGATTAGAAATGTTACTTGAGTTACTTCTCCTCTCTGTATGTATTTAACAGATAATGAAACTTTTAACTTGTTTAAAAGTGATATTTTTTGCTTTTTTATGACCATGAGCATTAATTAAACTACCAGCTACCTTCCTTTTTCCCTGTTAAAACCTTTGGGAACAAAATAAACCAAACTTTAAGAGCTAGAGCACTTACAGTGTAAGCAATTTCCACTGAGGTTCTTTCATTCTAATTTATGTAATCACTTAATTTCTATATTATTTCTGTAAGCCTAATAGAACAGAAGCTAATTACAGTAGATTTCTTTTTAAACAGGTTTATGAAGGGTACTTCACATACCATACAATTCACTAATGAAGGGTATACAATTCAGTGGTTTTATAGTATATTCATAGATAGGTGCAAACCATCAATATAATCAATTGTAGAGCATTTTCAGCACTTCACAAAGAAGCCAGTACTCTTTAGTTAGGATTTCTGTATTCCATCTCCCACTGCTCTAAGGAACCACTAATATGCTTTCTGTTTGTATAGATTTTACGTTTTGGATTTTTCACCTAACTAAAATACTGTAGTATATGAGTTTTTTTGTATTGGCTTCTTTCTGTTTGGATATTTTCTCCCCACCACCCCACCCCGGGTTTGAATTCATGACCTTGAGATCAAGGCCTGAGCTGAGATCAAGAGTCAGACACTTAACTGACTAGGCCACCCAAGTTCGTCCTGTTTGGATATTTTCAAGTTTTATTCATGTTGTAGCATGTATCAGTAGTATGATATTACTTTTTATGCCTAATAGTATTTTATGGTTATACCATGTTTCATTTATCTGTTCATTCATTGATGGACATTTTGGGTGGTTTCTACCTTTTGGGTCTTTTGAATAATGCTGGTATGAACATTTGTGTACAGGTTTCTATGTGGACATATGTTTTCATTTCTCTTGGACATATACTTAGGAGTGGTGTTGCTGAGCCATATGGTGACTCTGTATTTAAATTGTTTGAGGAACTGCAAGACCTGTTTTTCAAAGCATCCGCACCATTTCACATTTCTATGAGCAGTGTATAAAAGTTCAGTATCTCTACATCCTTGCCAACAGTTGTTATTATCTTACTTTGATGCTAGCTAGCCATCCTGGGTGGTATGAAAGTTGTATCTTTTTTGTTTTTTTTTTTTAAAGATTTTTATTTATTTATTTGACAGAGATCACAAGCAGGCAGAGAGGCAGGCAGAGAGAGAGGAAGGGAAGCAGGCTCCCTGCTGAGCAGAGATCCTGATGTGGGGCTCGATCCCAGGACCCTGGGATCATGACCTGAGCTGAAGGCGGAGGCTTAACCCACTGAGCCACCCAGGTGCCCCTGAAAGTCGTATCTTATTGTGGTCTTCATTTGCAATTCCCCCTAATGATGTTGAGCATCTTTTCATGTGTTTATTGTCCATTTGTATATCTTTAGAAAAATATCTATTCAGTCTATTTTTAGTTGGGTTTTTTTTTTTCTTTCTTAATTGTGTTGTTAGAGGTCTTTATATATTTTGTTACAAGTTCCTGTTAAATAAGGGGTATTTTCTCCTATTCTCTGGGTTGGCTTTTTAAAAGCTTCTTAATGGTGTCCTTTGAAGCACAAAAACTTTAAATTTTGATAAAGTGCAGTTCTGTTCATCTTTTTATTGCTTATACTTTTGACGTCATATCTAAGAATCCAAGTTCATGAAGTTTTGTCCCTATCTTTTCTTCTAAGAGTTTTATAGTTCTAACTCTTTTACATTTAGGTCTTTCATCCATTTTGAGTTAATTTTTGTATATTCTCTGAAGTAAGGGTTCAGCCTTTCCAAATGACTATCCGATTGTCCCATGAATATTTATTAAAAAGACTGTTTTTCCCCCATTGAACAGTCTTGATACCATTATTGGAAATCAGTTCATCATACATATATGAGTTTCCTTCTAGAGTCTCAACTTTTTTTCTCTTGATCTGTGTATCAGTTCTTAATCCATTACTGTATCGTCATGATTACCATTGTTACAAGGTTTGAGATCAAGAGGTCCGAGTCCTTTTTATTCTTCCTTTTCAGAATCATTTTGACTATTCTGGGTTCCTTGCAATTCCATATAAATTTTAGAATCAGCATGTCAATTCCTACAATGACGTCAGTTGAGATTCTGATGGGGATTTCATTGAATCTGTATATCAGTTTGGGGGGTATTATTGTTTTAACAATAAGTCTATTGATCCATGAACATGGGATGTTGTTCCATCTATTGAGATCTTTAACTTATTCCAACAATGTTTTCAGAGTGTGAGTTTCACACTTCTTTTGTTAAATTCATTCTTAAGCATTTTATTTGTTTTGATGCTATTGTGACTAGAATTGATTTTTAAATTTTATTTTTGGGTGTTCATTGCAAGTGCATAGAATTGGTTTTTGTATTTGATCTTGTATTCTGCGGCCTTGCTGAAGTCATTTATTAGTTTTGATAGCTTTTTAGCATATTTCATAGGATTTTCTGAGTATAAAAATCATGTCATTTGTGAATAGAGATAGTTTTACCCTTCCTTTCCATTCTGCTTTTTATTTGTCTTCTGTTGCCTAATTGCCCTTGCTAAAATTGCCCTTGCTAAACTTAGTACAGTGTTTAATAGAAGTGGCAACAGCAGACTTCCTTGTCTGGTTCCTAAATTTTAGGATGAAAACATCTAGTCTTTCACCATTTAGTATATTGCTGTGTAGGTTTTTCATATATACCCTTATCAGGCTGAGGCAGTTCCCTTCTAATCCTACTTTGTTGAGCATTTTTATCATAAAAAGGTGTTGGATTTTGTTAAATGCTCTTTTGTTTGTTTGTTATTGATCTGATGTATTATTTAATTGGTTTTTGGATGGTAGACCAAACTGCATCTCTGGTATAAATCCCATTTGGTCATGATGTATGTATGATTCTATTTATACATTGTTAGATTTCTTTTGCTAATATGTTGTTGAGTTTTTTGGTGTGTAGTTTTCTTGTGATGTCTTTGTCCAGTTTTGGTATCAGGATATTCCTGGCTTTATAAAGTGAGTTGAGAAGTTCTCTTCTGTTTTTTGAAAGAGTCTGTGAAGAATTTGTATTCTTGGAATGCTAGGTAGAATTTAGCAGGGAAACAATTTGGGCCTGGGCTTTTCTTTCTGGGTAGTTTTTTGATTACTGATTTATTCTCTTATTACAGGTCTTTTGAGATTATTCCTTCTTGAAATCAGTTTTGGTAATTTGTGTGTCTTTAGGAATTTATCCATTTCATCTAGGTTATCTAATTTGTTGACATAATTGTTCATAGTATTCTCTTATAATCCCTTTTATTTCTTCAGATTGTGATTATAGCACCAAAGTCTGCATGTTCTTTAGTCATGTTGCATGCAAATTATTTTCTCACATATGATAAGAGTAGGTTGATAGACTGAGTCAAGAAACAAATTAAAATATAGGACTTAGAAGAGGAATGTGAGAGAAGAAAAAATTTATACAGTCTGGGAATAGTATATCCTAATTGCATGTATTGGAAATAAACTGATTAGTTGTTAAAGAGATGAGCCTGATTCCCTCTGAGCACCCTCCTGGACCTCAGTAGGCTGACTAGGGGTGTCAAAGAAAGCAATTTCAGTTTCTTGTGGATTTTCAAAAAAAAAAAGATTGATTAAATGTGTAATGTACATCATATACTGCCTGTAGGTGATATCTCCTTTGTCCCCTTGTCATCACCTCTATCTTAGGCCAGGTCTGTACCATTTCAGAATTTTTCTTTTTTTTTTTTTTTTAAGATTTATTCATTTATTTATTTGAGAGGCAGAGATCACAAGTAGACAGAGAGGCAATCAGAGAGGGGTGGGGGGAAGCAGGCTCCCCGCAGAGCAGAGAGCCCAATGTGGGGCTCGATCCCAGGACCCCGGGATCATGACCTGAGCCGAAGGCAGAGCCTTTAACCCACTGAGCCACCCAGGTGCCCCTCAAAATTTTTCTTAGTAGGTCCTAGAATCAAATCTTTTTCCTAGGCTAGTTGTATGTCCTAGGACCTAAACGGGGTTATCTAATATTTGTTACAGCCAGTATTATATTGTCTACTTATTGTGTATTATTCCTGAAAGAAATATTTTATGGAGAAATGAAAACAATTTTACACTTTACATTTTCACAGAGGTACAAGAAGTACAAAGGATCAAGATAATATGAGTGAACGAAATGTTCATCTGGAGTCTCAGATCAAGGGATTTACACACAAGACACCAGCAGAATCTAACATGGATTCTAGAGAGCCCAAGATTTCAGTTTTGGAAGGAAGGTATGCATGTGTTCTAAGGATAATTGGGTTTACATTATATTAGTCACTCATTGCTGTGTAACAGATTACCCCAGACTTTAACAGTGACTTGGAAACATCTGTGGTTTCATACTTTCTGTGGCCAAGAAGTCTGGGTTAGCTGGCTAGTTCTTACTCAGGGGTTCTAATGAGGTGTAGCGTTCAAGATATCTACCTGGTCTGTAGTCCTTTGATGGCTTGACTGTGACTGGAGGATCTACATATAAGGTGTTTTGCTCCCATGGCTTTAGCTTTATGTGTCTTTGTTATATGGCCCTCTCCATAAGGCTGTTCAACATGACAGCTGGCTTTTTACAAAGCAAGTAATCCAAGAGAAAATATGACTATGATGGAGGTTAAAATTGCCTCTCTGAAGTTGCATACTGTCACTTCTACTCCATTCTGTTTGTTGGAAACAAGTCATTAAGTCCAGACCACATTTAAGGAATGGGGGATTAGGCTCTCTCTCTTGAAAAGAAGAGTATTTAAAAATTTGTGGGTATGTGTTTAAAACAGGTACACTCAGTGAACAAACCAAGTTAATCTACTCTTAAAATATCTGAAATCATATACCCCTTTTTAAAATGAAGGAATGGTAAATTTTAACAGATTCTCAGGTCTTTTAAGTGATGGCTAAGATTTCTTTACTATTTGGTGGGTTATGATTACTAGGCCTATCCTGGGTTCATAGTGGAAGGAGAGGAATCTAGAACTGGGATAAGCTGAATTATCTCTGAGCAATTTCTGGACTGTATTTTAAATTCCACTTGTTTCTGACTATATTTTTTAATTAAGAAAAGCTGATTTATTTCTAAAATTTTTTATAATTTGATTTATCAAGAGATGTTACGTGAGTTGAAATTAAAATTTAGAATTAATTCATGAAGTTTAAAAGGTTATAAAATTCAGTATTTGTCCTGTTTGACAGTTATAGGATTAAATTTTAGATTCTTTGTTTTATTTGGCATGTAAATATACTTTTGGTGATTTGTAACATCACTCTTAGTTTTATAAGAATGAAACCTTTGGCAGTTTTGGGGAGAAAAATGACCATTAGGGTAGAAAATTAGATATATGTATTATAAAAGCACAAATTTGATGGTTTACTTTTTTATCTTAAAGTGGACCTTTCAGGCTCAAGAATTATTTAACACCTGGAAAGAATAATTCTGATGTGGATGACAAGGAAGTTCAGGAAACTTCAAGTAGGTTATTATTTATTGTTTGTTGTCTTGATATTTATGGCATTATGCATGCAGAGTAGGATGTGCTATGTTTTATATAAATTGTTGCCAGTGGCAAGTGTGTATTGAGTACTTACTCTTAAGAGCCTTAGTATATTTAGAGATTTGTAAGATCTTAGACCTGTGTGATAGAGGGAGGAAGAGAGAAAGAATGACAGAGTGATAGTCCTTTCTTTGAGGTAGAACATAAAGAAGTAATTAACACTTAAAATATCTACTTGAGTATTGAAAAATGTTAAGAGGTGTCTGGGTGTCACGGTTGGTTGGGTGCCCGATTCTTGATTTCAGCTCAGGTCATGATCATAGTGTTGTAAGATAGGGCCCAGCATTGGGCTCATGCTCAGTGTAGAGTCTACTTGTGACTTTCTCTCCCTCTCTTTTTGCCCACCTTGCAGTTTCTCTCTCTCTTTCTCTCTCTGAAATAAATAAATCTTAAAAAAAAAAAATGTAAAGCTGTTAAGGGTATAAATGAAGAAAGATTAGCCATGTATACTGTAGCTGTATGATGGGTGTATCAGTTTCATTATATTGTTTTTTCTATTTTAAATATATTTGAAACTTTACATAGTGCAGTTTTTAAAATGCCTCTTAATAATTTTGCAATTTTTATGCTGCTAAAGAATGTGCTTGGAATTTAATCTGTTATACTATTTTTTGTTTCCTAATTCACTAATTAATTTTCCTTTTATTTTTTTATTTTTTAAAATTGGAATCAATCTCTCTCTCTCTCTCTTTTTTTTTTTTTGAGAGAAAGAGAGCACACACAGGTGCGCCCATGAGCAGGGCTGGCTATGGTGGGGTGGGGTGGCCAGAGGGAAAGGGAGGGAATCTTAAGCAGACTCCTTGCTGAGCTCAGAGCTCATATCACAACCCTGAGATCATGATCTGAGCCAAAATCAAGAGTTAGACACTCAGCTGACTGAGCCATCCAGCACCCTTCTTTTTCCTTTTGATTTGCATCTCTTGAAATGCTAGGAATGTGGAATTTGTTTTTTTAAAGATTCTGTTTTTAAGGGATCTCTATGCTTAATTGGGGCTTGAACCTGCAATGCTGATAACAAGAGTTGTAGGCTCGATCAACCAAGCCAGCCATATGCCCCCTTTTAAATTGTTTTTTTTTATCTCTCTGTGTTGAGAATTATTTTATTATTTTTCTCCTCTAAGTTGAATGCTTTCTTATTATTTTTCTATTTTTATATAATAAAAAATTTTTTATTTGAAAAAACAATGAATTTTCCTGACTAGTTTTAGCTTAATTTTACAGCTTTTTATTTATTTATTTTTAAAATCTTTAAAAAGATTTTATTTATTTATTTATTTGTAGTGTGAGCAGGGTTGGGGCAGAGCAAGAGGCAGAGAGAGAATCTGAACCAGATTCTGTGCTGAGTGTGGAGCCCCACCTGGGGCTTGATCTCATGACCCTGAGATCAGGACCTGAGCCAAAATCGAGACTCTCAACCAACTGAACCACCCAGGCGCCCCAATTTTACAGCTTTTTAAATATTGTGTTCTTTTTTCTTTTTTAAAGATTTATTCTTTTATTTTAGAAAGAGAGAAAGAAAGAGCACAAGTGGGGGAAGGTTGGGAGGAGGGGCATAGGGAGAGAGAATATCCAGCAGACTCCTGTGCAGTGCAGAACCTGACATAGGACTCGGTCCCGCAGCCCTGAGTTCATGGCTAAGCTGAAATCAAGAGTTACATCCTAAACCAGCCGAGCCACCCAGATCACCCCAAATGTTGTATTCTTACTGTAGTGTACCCTAAATTACAGTGATTTTTCTTTGACCCAGGAGTTTTTTAAGGATATATTAGTTAACAGCTTGGCCCCCAGAGTCCCTTGGTAGAGTCGAACTCTACCACTTATTTACTATGTTATTTTGAGTAAAAAATTTCATTGCTCTTACCTTTGGCATACTTATCTGTAAAATTGGAATATCATTTCTAATCCCTTAGCTTTCTTGTTTAGTTTAATATCTGGTTTATGTTTAAACATTATTATGTTGGCTGTTATTCTGAAGTGTTTTGTTCTTTGTTAACAATTTCTAATTTCATTTAATTGTTCTAGGGAATTTTGGCTTGTATTATTTATTTTTTGAATTTATTAAGGTTTTCTTTATAATCTGTAGTATGCTTAGAACATAAAAATTCATGGGTTCTCCTATGGGTGCTTGAAAAAGAATACTATTATTTTGTGTACATGTATGGATATAGAAATATATATCCACTTATTTTATTGATATAAGTGCATATATATATATTTGAATATATTTTTAATATTTATGGAACTTAAATTTTTTTTTTTTTTTTTTAAAGATTTTATTTATTTATTTGACAGAGAGATCACAAGCAGGCAGAGAGGCAGGCAGAGAGAGAGGAGGAAGCAGGCTCCCTGCTGAGCAGAGAGCCCGATGCGGGGCTCGATCCCAGGACTCCGAGATCATGACCTGAGCCGAAGGCAGCGGCTTAACCCACTGAGCCACCCAGGCGCCCCAAATTTTTTTAATTTTTAAAGATTTTTATTTACTTGAGAGAAAGTGAGTGGGCATTTGAGAGGAAGAGGGAGAAACAGATTCCCTGTTGAGTAGGGAGCCTGACACAGGACTTGATCCCAGAACCCTGAGATCATGACCTGAGCCGAAGGCAAATGCTTACACCCAGGTGCCCCAGAACTCTTTAATATTTATAGAATATTATGGAATATTTACTATGTATCCTTCTAGAGGCTGCAGATGTGGTAGTGAACAAAAGTGACAAAAACTTCTGTCTCCCTGGAGCCTACTTTCTGGGGGACCAGCGTAGAAGACAATAAAAAATGATAGCAAAATTTAGGATTTGCTGGATTGAGAGTAGAATAATAAAGCAGGGATTTTGTGGTGGGAAATGGTGGTTACATGCTTAAGTAGATGGGCAGAAAAGGCATTACTGAGGACGTGATCATCTGAGGAAAAGACGAAGTGAATCATGTAGCTGTATGAGGAAATACCTCAAGTCGAGGGAAGAACAAGGACAGTTCTGATATGATAATGAGTCTGATGGCAGGAAACACTCAGGAGACTGGGTAGAGCAAAGGAAGAGAGGGATATTAGGAGATGATGTCACAGAGATAACAAGAATGAAAGATCACATAGGATGTTAAAGGCTATTTTAAGGATTTTTGCAAAAGCTTTTCCTGAGAGAGTTGATCAGACATTGGAGGATTTTGAGCAGAGGAGAGACATGATGAACCTATAAACAGAATGACTGGCTGCTGTGTTAGGGAAGGGCTGGTGAGTTTGAGGCGGCTGGTATTAAAGTTGGAGGCAGGGAGACTGGTTGGTGAGACATTAATAATCCCCCTGAGAGTTTGCTTAGACTAGAGTGGTAGCAGTGGAAGGTGGACAACAGTAGTAGGATTTTGAATAGTTTTGAAGATAAAATCAACAACATTTCCTGATGGATGGGATGTGGGATGTAAGAAAGAGATATCAGGGATAACTTTAAGGCTTTAGGCTTGAGCACCTGAAAGAATTAGGTTGTCATTACTTGATTTGAAAACTGTTAGAGAAGGAGCAGATTTGGGGGAAAAGAACAGGATATTAGAATTGAACATATTACATTAGATATTAATTTGGTCCTTTATATCCTTGCTTGTCCTTGCTTGTGATTTGTGAAACCTGCTGAAGACTGCCAGAGTTGAAGTAAAGTGTTTCCACTACAATAGTCTGCTTTTTTCTCCTTATATTTTCTGCAGTGTTTGCTCTGTACACTTCAGTGCTTACTAAGCATGTAAGCCTTTATATGGAATGTACCTGCTTTGGTCAAATTTATCTTCTTTTTTTTTTTTTTTAAAGATTTTATTAATTTATTTGACAGAGAAAGAGAGGGATCACAAGTAGGAAGGGGGCAGGCAGAGAGAGAGGGAATCAAGCTCCCTGCTGAGCAGAGAGCTGGATATGAGGCTTGATCCCAGGACCCCAGGTTCACAACCCGAGATCATAACCCAAGCCGAAGGCAGAGGCTTAGCCCGCTGAGCCACCCAGGTGCCCCCAGATTTATCTTCTTGATCTTGTTACAGTGCTTTTACCTTGTAGTCTGTTTTGTCTAATATTAATATTATGACCCCTAGTTTCTTTCGGCTCATTGTTCTTTTTTACATTTTTACTTATCTTTTTACTTAACCTTTCTTACAGACCTAAAACAAAGTGGTTTAGAAAAAGTACATGATTGAATTTTTTTTTTTTTTATTTTTTTAAAGATTTTATTTATTTATTTGACAGACAGAGATCACAAGCAGGCAGAGAGGCAGGCAGAGAGAGAGAGAGGAGGAAGCAGGCTCCCTGCAGAGCAGAGAGCCCGATGTGGGGCTCGATCCCAGGACCCTGGGATCATGACCTGAGCCGAAGGCAGAGGCTTAACCCACTGAGCCACCCAGGCGCCCCACATGATTGAATTTTTATTTTTAACTTTCTGTCAGTATTTTTTCCTTTAATAAATGTTTAACACATTTATACTTACTGTCAGAACAGATAGCCTTGTTACTTCCTTGTAATTTGGTAGACATTCTCACATATAACAGCAAGAACTCAGGATTTTTTTTTTTTTTTTTTGTACAACTAGTTGAATAGTAAAAATAATCTTTGAGTCATAATCCTTTTTCCTTTAAACTAGCTGGCTATTGACCTTTCGTCTGGCAATAGCTAATGCTTAGGAGTAGAAATTTAAAGGCAGACCCATTTTTTATTTTCTTTGTAGGGAACCTGTTTTCTTCTATCTCCATGCTTACTAGGATTCTTTAATGTTTGAAATGCAGGAGTTATCTCTTCATTGCTGTTTTTTAAAAATAATTTTTTGGAAATTACTAAATTTATTAAAATACTAACTTTTAGAAATTATTAATTTTAAACATTCTGAATTCCCATATCTGCTTCACCCAGATTCCACAGTTGTCAGTATTTTACAACATTTGTTCCATCTCCCTCCCT